CAGCGACTGCAACAACTCACAGCGACTGCAACAACTCACAGCGACTGCAACAACTCACAGCGACTGCAACAACTCACAGCGACTGCAACAACTCACAGCGACTGCAACAACTCACAGCGACTGCAACAACTCACAGCGACTGCAACAACTCACAGCGACTGCAACAACTCACAGCGACTGCAACAACCCACAGCGACTGCAAGTTCTTGAGACACCCCAGTGTGCTTGGCAGAGTGCCACTGAGAAGGTTGCTGGCGAGACGGCTGAAACACATGCGGAGAGAGCGAGAGAGACGTGTGGAGTGGAGGCATGAGGGGAGAGCAGCGCGTGGTGGAATGCGGAGAGAGAGACGTGTGGAGGCATAAGGAGAAAGGGATGTGTGGAGTGGAGACATGAGGAGAGTCAGTCAATCAACTAGGAAAACGAGGGGCGGGCCAAAAGTCGTCTCTGTACCCACCACCAACGAAGCAATCTAACATGCTGACTTACAGTAAGAAAACTCACACGTTCACTAGCTTTAAGAGTCGTTGTCCCAGCCACTCGGGAACTGATCCTTTCAATTTATTGGCCTCTAACGATCTGAAGGGGAGGGAGGGAGGGAGGGAGGGGGGGAGGGAGGAGGGAAGGAGACGGGGAGGGAGGGAGAAAGGAAGTGGGGAAAAGGGAATGGGAAAGGGGAAGGGGATTAGCGAGTAAACTGTGTGAATCAATGACTCGAAACTCTTTCTTTTAAGACGTCTCAAGACTCGTCAGCGAGCAAGCCGCAGAGCAGAGTGACTCATACATAAGTGGGTCAGGCTGGAAGGGCGGACAGCTTATGTGGTTGGAGGGGCCGCACCGCACAGGTGGGTGTCATGTTATGTTGGAGTTGAATTTGACGCTCAGCTAGCTAGGGTTGCGACTTAGGTGTCATGTCGACTCACAAATAGGTGAGGTTCGAACGGTGGAGTGGACGGCAACGTTTGGCGCGACTCACAGGAAGGTGAGGCTGGAGAGGGCTGAGATCTCCTCCGGGATGGGCCCTGTGAGCGAGTTGTATCCCATGTCACTGCACGTTGCAAGCGCGAGGGGCGATGAGACTAAAATGGGGAATTACCAATGGCACTGAGAGGGCTGAGAGCTCCTTTGAGATGGGCCCTGTGAGCGCGTTCGTTGTATCCCATGTCATTGCACGCACACATTGCAACGGACACACGTGAGGGGCGAGGGGAACAAGGCAAGAAATGGATTCATGAGATGCCTCGCACGTTTCTCTTTCTCCTGGGATGGGCCCTGTGAGCGCGTTCGTTCGTTGTATCCCATGTCACTGCACGTAGCGACGGCAACATGCATGAGGGGCGGGGCGGGGAGGATAAAGCAGGGAATGTAGTAACGAAACGCCTCACAAGTCTTCTCACCGGGTTAAAAACGCAGGGAATTACGAGTGAGTTGTTTTCCATCTCGCATCGCAGCAAGTTCGTAAAATTCGTGAAAATAAGGAAAAAGGGAGTGGGGACGGAAAGAACTATGACAGGCGGAAATAATGAGTTACAGGGGGAAGTCCTAAAATGATGGGAGCGGAAATTGAGATGGGAAACTCTTAGCTCCCACGTGGGCCCTTAGCAGCCACGTAGCCCCTTAGCAGCCATGTGGCCCCTTAGCAGCCACGTGGCCCCTTAGCTCCCACGTGGCCCCTTGGGGCAGTGGGGGCACCCAAGCTCCTTCCCCCTCTTCTCCGCCCGCCCCCCTTCCCCTTCCCCCCCCCACCCCCTTCCCCTCCCCTTTCCCCCATCCCCTCTGCCCCCCACGCACTCACAGGCGTTGCAGCCCAGCCAGAGCAGCCAGCTGCTTCCCTGGGATGGGCCCTTTCAACAGTTCATTTGCCAAGTTGCTGCGCAGAGGGAGAGGGGGATTGGGGGGGGGGAGATGATGGGGGCGAATGGGGGGGCGGGGGCTTTCAGGCGTCTCAAAAGTGCTTCCCTGGGATGGGGCCTTTTGCTCTCATGCTTATAACACAGCAAGTCACATGCTTATCACGCGTCCAGCATCTCACAGGCTTATAACGCGCCCAGCATCTCACAGGCTTATAACGCGCCCAGCATGTCACAGGCATATAACGCGTCCAGCATCTCACAGGCGTATAACGCGTCGAGCATCTCACAGGCGTATAACGCGTCGAGCATCTCACAGGCTTATAACGCGGCGAGCACTGTTGCACTTGATGCGAGGGGTCCAGGAGGGGTCGCAGGGATCCGCATTCACCCAGCCTGGCAGCGCAGCGGGATTGCCGCGTCTCAACGCGTCCCTCAGCGCAAACAGCGCAGCTTCTGAGCAAGGGGAAGAAGAGCAACAAGAGGAGGGAGGGGTCAGAGGGGACGGGGGAAGGGGGAGCCATGGCGTTCCCCCAGCCTGGCAGCGCAGCAGGATTGCCGCCTCTCAACGCGTCCCTCGGAGCTAACAGCGCGGCCTCTGAACAAAATTAGGATAAAAGGAGGAGGGGCCAAGGGGGTGGGAAGAGGGGGGGGCAGAGGGATCCATGGCGTTCCCCCAGCCTGGCAGCGCAGCAGGATTGCCACCTCTCGGCGCGTCCCTCAGCGCTAGCAGCGCGGCGAACGCGAAGGTCAGCGCGGGAGACAGCAGCGCAAGAGCAAACATCGGCTTGCGCGCGATCACTGAGTCGAGGCTGGTAACGAGAAACTCACTATCGGGGCTGGTAACGAGGAACTCAATATATCGGGGCTGGTAACGAGGAACTCACTATCGGGGCTGGGAGCAGCAGCGGCGGCCGTGGAGAGCAGTCTCGGGGTTGTCGCCGTGGCTGCGAGCGCGAGGGACAGCAGCGCGAGAGCATGCATCAGCTTCCGAGTGACCAGTGACGCACCGCCGCGATTCGCGGCCATGGACGGCAGCAATGTCGTTTCACGACTGAAGATTTTTCGCGAGCGTTGGATGGTCATCGGTTTCCCGAGATTTTATAGTAAGAATCACTTTGCGGAAGTCTCTTGGAAACGAGGTATTGTATGGACGTTGGTGGATAAAATGAGAAAATATTTCGCGACTTGGGATCGGCCAAACGAGCGGAGAAATAGTGGAGCTCTTAGTAGACATGCGTCACGAATTTCCAGATTTTAGGGAATTTTGGCTAGAAGTTCTGGCCCCCAAAACATGCCCACAAATGTTTCTTGGAACGATCTCGAAGATCTTGACCTCGATCTCTCAAATTCTAGCAGGCTTTGACACTCGAGAAATAGAGGAAGCGGAGCGAGGAACCGGCGGAAGGGCGGAATGGCGGGATGGCGTTCGGGGAACCCGCGGGAATTGCGCTTGCGGAGATAACGACCCGTTGAAGGGCTTCATCCCAAAAAAATCCCCCGCAATCAAGTTGAGTCTGGTCAGGTGACAGCCTAATACAACTACCCGTCGCAGTAGTCAAGAATGAGTCGGACTGGCGAAAATGGGTCGCGGGAAATGCCGCGGAAAATGATAATGCGATCAGGAAATGAGTCGTGCTTCAAGCAGAGGTTCGCTGTGGGTCGGGGGAGTAGAGTCTCCGCGTCTCGCGGAGTTCGCGCGGAGCCCGTGGGAAGTGCTGGTAGTAGCGTTGGTCGGTCGGCCTGTCGGTGGTGAGTAAGTATCCCTACTTGATAAGATGGCGTCACTGGTACCAACAGCTGATTAGCTATCGCACATCGATCCGTTACTGAACACCGATAAGCTATTATACATGCAAGTACTTCGCCACGACAGGACTGATTGTACATGCAAGTACTTCGCCGTATGTTACTAGCTTCAATCTTGACGTGCATTCAATCTGACTCTGAATGATGCAGCTTGCATGCGGATAGGAGACATACCCGAGAATGGCGACAACTTGTGAGTTAGGCGGCAGTTACCAATGCGAGGTTGCGTGTTTGAGCAGCCAGGAAATAGCCCGATGTTTTACGGGAGGAGCTTGCGGGTCCTCGGTTGGTGTAGCTAACTGGAATAGGAGGAAAGCCGGGAAAGTCGGTTACACTCGGTATCTAGGAGGAAAAGTCGGTTCAAATAGGTTGCGAGTGCGCACCGAACAAAAGTGCACGATGTCACGCTGTCAAGATTGGCGGTTTGTCAGTTCGGTTTCGTGGTCAGTCTATTCTGATTGAATCTCATCCGGTCAATTGCTGGTGATATACGCGCTAAGAAATGCTTTTGCACAGTGTAGTGCCACGTGATAGCATTGAGGAAGTCAAGGACTATCTCTGTGCAATGATTCTTGATGTAACGCTCTGTGACTACGGGTTCACAAAGCACAGATGTAAAATGGGTATGGATTGGGAAGCCTACCTCTCTTTCCAAGTATAGGCCAACTCACTGGCTATAACATAAGCATGAGTGGAGACTGTAGCAAATACATTTTGCATGTGCATTTACAGATTCAAATCTTTGTCATGTGCATCCATGTAACATAACATGGACGGATATATAGTGTGGGTGGGTAACTCCATACTCGACATGGATGGATACGGAGTGTGGGAGTGTGGGTTACTCCTTTCTCAAGCCTAACCCGACTGCTTTGCTCTCATCAGCACAGCCACCCCCACCCCAACGACACAAGCAGCGATAGCTGGCAGCGCAACAGCTAGAGCTGCTCGAGAGACGGACCAATCAGAGGCGGAGGAAGAGGAGAGTGAGTAGTGAGAGTGGTGGGGGTGGGAGGAGCGGCGGCGAGCAGAGGAGGGGACGTCGGAGTCTAGCGAGTCGCGGAGTAGGCGACTCAACGAATCGAGCTATAAAGTAGTCAATGGTTGGGAGACAAAATAAAAACAGAAAGGGGGCAGTGATTTTAGAATAGCAGGGGACTTCGGAGTCTAGTGAGTGAGTCACGAAGCAGGCGACTCAAACGAGCTGGGAAGTAGGCATTGGTCGGGGAACGAAATAATACAACAAAAGAGGGCAGTGATTTAAGAGGAGGATGGGGGAGGGATCGGTGGGTGGGGGAAGGGGACAAAGACATTTGAGCACAGGAATATGAGCAGAGCACAGGAATATGAGCAGGTAACGCCCGAGAGGTAAAAAACAGAACAAAATCAAACAAACGACCATGCCACCTGAAATCCCTGAACCATTACCTCAGATCAGGCCGAACCAAGGCTTGACCCCTCACCTCAGATGCGAGCCTTCTTTGGTTGCTGGCGACCTCCTTCACTTCCACCACCAGCGCCGCTGCTGCTGATCCTGGTGCTGCTGCCCCTCGCCCCTCTGCACCGCTCCCAACCCCATTCACTGCATTCACATCATAACAATGACTGTTACCACTCACACCCACCGCACTACCATTCATCAGGCCCATCACACTCCCCCCAGCAGTAGAAACAGGAGTGAGCCTGCTACCCCCATTCCCACCCTTACCACCACTCCCTCCGCCACTCCCCCCACTACCCCCTCCATTCCTCCTCTCTCCCCCATTCCCCGCCCTTATATCAATCGGTCCCGCCAGCTCGCCTCTACTCCCGCTCCTCCCTCCCGATATCCCGTTCCCCCCTGACACCAACTGGCTGGTCAACGCTGACGTGGCCGGACTCAATTGGATGTTACCGCCGCCGCCCCCGCCTAGGTTCCCCCCTGGATTCCCACTCTCACGCACAGAACCCGCTGGTCCAGCTGAAACAAGATCTAATCTTGAAAGCAGCTCGTCCAATCGATCGGTGACAAGTGTCAGCTGCTCAGAGATCCGCTCCTGGGATTGAACCAGGGACGTCACTTTCTCTGCTTGTTCTGATCCTCCCCCCTCCAATCCCTCCTCCTCCCCAACCCCTACACGACCCAAATTCCGACTCCTGCTGCGGCTGCTATTTCCACCCACTCCTCTCCTACTGCCCCCCCCTTCTCCTGCAATATCCACATGCCTCCCCCCTGCACCCGCTCTCTCCCCGTCCTCTTCCCGCCTGTGTCGCCTTGAGGGTGTGACATTAGCAGAGGCAGCAGCGTTGGTGTGTGAGGCCTCGAGTCGGTCTGGCGATGCGTTGATTCGTCCCCCTGCTGGTCCTTGCTCCAGTTGCTGCCCATGGGATGGGACAGGGGGAACATGGTGGGATGGGATGGGACGGGGCATTCAAGGGGTGTCACCAGCAGAGGTAGCTGCGCTGCGACTTTTGAGGCGCCTCAGAGGTAGCTGCGTTGGCGCTTTGGTTGAAAGTGGGTGAGACTGCGAGGCCTCGAGTCTATCTGGAGACGAATTGATTCGCCCGCCCTGCCAGTCCTTGATCGGATTTCTGGGGTGCGGATGATGACATGGGGTGGGGATGACATGGGGTGCGGATGACATGGGGTGGGGATGACATGGGGTGCGGATGACATGGGGTGCGGATGACATGGGGTGCGGATGACATGGGGTGCGGATGACATGGGGTGCGGATGACATGGGGTGCGGATGACATGGGGTGGGGATGACATCGGGTGCGGATGACATGGGGTGCGGATGACATGGGGTGCGGATGACATGGGGTGCGGATGACATGGGGTGCGGATGACATGGGGTGCGGATGACAAGGGGTGCGGATGACATGGGGTGCGGATGACATGGGGTGCGGATGATGACATGGGGTGCGGATGATGACATGGGGTGGGGATGACATGGGGTGCGGATGACATGGGGTGCGGATGACATGGGGTGGGGATGACATGGGGTGCGGATGACATGGGGTGCGGATGACATGGGGTGCGGATGACATGGGGTGCGGATGACATGGGGTGCGGATGACATGGGGTGCGGATGACATGGGGTGCGGATGACATGGGGTGCGGATGACATGGGGTGGGGATGACATCGGGTGCGGATGACATGGGGTGCGGATGACATGGGGTGCGGATGACATGGGGTGCGGATGACATGGGGTGCGGATGACATGGGGTGCGGATGACAAGGGGTGCGGATGACATGGGGTGCGGATGACATGGGGTGCGGATGACATGGGGTGCGGATGATGACATGGGGTGCGGATGACATGGGGTGCGGATGACATGGGGTGGGGATGACATGGGGTGCGGATGACATGGGGTGCGGATGACATGGGGTGCGGATGACATGGGGTGCGGATGACATGGGGTGGGGATGACATCGGGTGCGGATGACATGGGGTGCGGATGACATGGGGTGCGGATGACATGGGGTGCGGATGACATGGGGTGCGGATGACATGGGGTGCGGATGACAAGGGGTGCGGATGACATGGGGTGCGGATGACATGGGGTGCGGATGACATGGGGTGCGGATGATGACATGGGGTGCGGATGACATGGGGTGCGGATGACATGGGGTGCGGATGATGACATGGGGTGCGGATGACATGGGGTGCGGATGACATGGGGTGCGGATGACATGGGGTGCGGATGATGACATGGGGTGCGGATGACATGGGGTGCGGATGATGACATGGGGTGGGGAGCACGGCAGCATGGCATGACATTGTGAAAACAAAGAGGCAGGGTATGGGGCCATTAGACGTGGCCAAACTTATGCCGAGAGTACATGAAGAGGAGACTAGACACGGGGTGAGCGAGGAGGAGAGCGGGGGGGAAAGGGGGGATAAGGGAGAAGAGAGAAGGGTAGAGGGCAGCAGAGAGAGCAAGAAAGAGAGCTCACGACTGGTCAAACTTGTGGCCGAGCGTCCAGGACGAGGAGACGAGCGGAGGGGTGAGGGAGGAGGAGAGGGGGGCACCACCCATGGGGCCTCCAGAAGGCAGCAGGTGGTCGGCCACTCTGAACCGCTCCGTGAGCACACTCTCTGCTGACAGCGCCTCTCATGCCACGCTCTGCTGACACTCTAGGGAAAGCAAGAGAGAGAACTCACGATTGATCAAACTTGTGACCGAGAGTCCAGGACGAGGAGACAAGAGGGGGGGTAAGGGAGGAGGAGAGGGGGGCACCACCCATGGGACTCCCAGACGGCAGCAGGTGATCGGCCACTCTAAACCGCTCCTTGAGCACACTCTCTGCTGACAGCGCCTGCACCTCCTCTGTCAGGTTGTGCAGCTGAATCTCCTCAATGTACAGCCGCGGGCTGTACCTCCCCTCCATGCCCAGCTGCGTAGCTATCTCCCGTACCCGCTTGCGGTCCTTTCCTTGCACCTGCAGTGATGAAGGGACAGAAGGCAGGGGTGGGAAGTGGTGGGGAGTGGTGTGAAGCGGTGGAAAAGTGTGGGGAGTGGCGGGTTGTGCAGCTGAATCTCCTCAATACCTCCCTTGCATGCCCAGCTGCGTTGCTATCTCCCTCGCCCGCTTCTGGTCCTTGCCCTGGACCTGCAGGGAGGAAGGGCGAGAAACGAGAACGGGGAGGAGGGAGGGGAAGGGGGGATGGCGCAAGGCAAATTGCAAGAACGAAGGGGAAAAATGCAAGCGAGGCGGGGAGGGCAGCAGGTGTAGTTAGTCGATTTTAGAGTCGACTCAAAAATCGACTAAAATGCAAGCGAGGCGGGGAGGGCAGCAGGTGGCAGCAGGGACGTACGCTGCAGGCTAGACTTTCCCTCCATGCCCAGCTGCCCTACTTCTATGACTCGTTTTCGGTCCTTTCCCTGATGTGTTCCAGGCGGCCCACCTTGACCACCCCACGTGGTGTTGCGTGTCTCGGAACAGCTACCACTGCATTATCTTCATGTGATGTGAGCACCCCCTCGGCCTCTCACAACCAAGTGCTGCTGCTTTTGAGACGTCTCAAAAGTCGTCCACGTGCTGCTGCTTGTCTGGGAACACACGCGAGTCCCTCCGGAGGATGTGCGCCATCTCGTAGCCCAGCGCCATGAGGCCCCCCAGCCCGCTACCACTGCCAGCCCGTGGCAGAAATCCCTGACCCCGCTGCCGCTGCTGCCCCCGCGCGCTGCCCCCGCTGCTCCTGCTGCTGCTCCAGTCTCACCTGCATGAACGTTTCCTTGATCTGCTCCAGGCGGTCCACCTTCACCACCACGTGCTGCTGCTTGTCCCTGAACACCCGCGACTCCCGCCTGAGGATGTGCGCCATCTAATAGCCCAGCGCCTATGTCAACAGCCCCCCGCTCTAACAGACCCCCCAGTCCCACCTGCATAAACGTCTTCTTGATCTGCTCCAGCCGGTCGACCTTCACAACGATGTTTTGCTGCTTGTCTCGAAACACACGCGAGTCCCTGCGGAGGATGTGCGCCATCTCGTAGCCCAGCGCCATGAGGCCCCCCAGCAGCCGCACACTCACTTCAAAGGTGATGCGCGGGGTTATGACGAACGGGCCGTCTGTCACACACTCCTGGGGAGGGTTTCGGGTTTGCGAGGCAGGGATGGAGGGAGGGAGGGAGGGAGGGAGGAAGGGAGGGAGGGAGGAAGAGAGAGAGAGAGGGAAGGAAGGAATGAGGAAGGGGAGGAGTGAGGGAGGGAGGGAGGGAGGGAGGGAGAGAGGGAAGAAGGGAATAGAACGTTGGAGTAAGGGGTAATGAAGTGGCCGTCTGTCACACACTCATGGTATACCCATGAAGGCCCAACGACCACCACCACCTAAAGAACCCACCTCAAACATGAGGGAGTAGCGCCCGTCTCTGTTGCGCATTCGCAGGTACGACTGGTCACGCCACACCTCCTTGTACCCTATATAAGCTGCCCTCTTAGGACTCCGCCTCTCGCTCACGACCACCCAGAGCACGCACCTCAAACATGAGGGAGTAGCGGCCGTCTCTGTTCCGCATTCGCAGGTACGACTGGCACGTCTCCTTGTCCTCTCCGGGCGGCAGCAGGTAAATGTCGTACGTCTCCTCACTCTCCGACCCTGCCACGGCTTCGGCAGACAGCACGGACCGGATCCGAGCCTCAGCTTCGGCAGGGTCGGATTCAGGCGCCTGAAAAAAAAATTGATAGCCAGGAGGAGAAGCGATGAAAGGAAAGGGTTTACATTTCAACAACCAGATAAGCAATGAAAGGGAACAAGGAAAGGAAGCTGAGCTTGGGCAGGAAAGGAGAAAAGTCACAGGATGCTGGGCAATGTGGATACTGAAGGGGGAAGGGAGGGGACGAACGGGGAAGGGAGGGGGGGGGCGAACAGGAAAATATAATCTAAGATCACAGGTCACAGTCCTACGCCTCACCACGTCACATCGCATCCCATACCACGCCTCACCATACCACAAGCCCCACCACACCACACACAGCACTGCACCACATCGCACTGCACCACCCCGCACCACACTGCACTGCACCGCACCACACTCCACCACACTGCACCTTGAGGATGTAGGTGGCATCTTGGAACCCCGAGAACGGGTTGAACTTGTTGACAATCCGTATGTGCGCCGTCTGGAGATCCGGCTCTATAAACGCCTTATACATCGGATAAACAGTCTCAGAAATTTGGTGAATGATCTCCTCTGGCGCCTGGCCTGATCGATCGATGTCCCGCAGCACTCTCTTAACGAGGTCAAAGTGTACTCCTCCCGTTATAGACACCCGCAGGTCCAGCAGCGGCCGGAGGCGCTCACTGAGTGCGTAGATGCCCTCTATAATCACAATGCGCGACTTGGGGACCTTCACTTCTCTGCAAGGGAGGAGGGAGGGAGGGAGGGGAGTGGAGAAGGGTGAAGTGGGGTGGAGTGGGGTGAAGAGGAGTGGAGTGGGGTTAAGTGGGGGGAGAAGGGTGAAGTAGTGTGGAGTGAAGCAGAGTGGTCCAGCAGCGGCGGAGGCGCTCGCTGAGTGCTAAAAGCCCTCTATGATCACACTTCGCGACTTGAGGATGACTCAGCGAGAAACTTTCACTTCTCTGCAGGGGAGCAGTGAGGTGGAACGGGATCGAGTGGAGCGGGGTGGAGTGAAGTGAGGTGGAGTGGAGTATGGGGGTCCAGCAGATGTATGCACATCTCTCATATGCACATCTCTCATATGCACATCTCTCATATGCACCCATCTCCCACTTCCTCCTCACCACTTCCCCCTCACCTCAACCCCACTCGCATGGTGCACTTGAAGTCGTATATCGGAACCTGCACTGTACATCCCTGTCCCAGAATCCCCCCACCCTCCCTCAATCACTTGTATGCACTCCCCTCCCAATTCCTCCTCACCTGAACCCCACGCGCATGCTGCTCTTAAAGTCATAGATTGGCACTTGAACGGTGCGCCCCTCCCTCAGCCCCTGCAGGTTGCTCAGCAACAGCTCGTAGTCCGTGATTCGCGGGTCTGGAGAGAATAGAGAAAAAAGGGGTATGATCGAAAAATACCCTCGTAAATTGCTCAAAAGAGAGGATTCAGCCCCCGCAGGTTACTCAGCAACAGCTCATCGTCCGTGAGAAAGGAGAGCATAGGAACAGCTCGGATGCGAGGCAATGGAAATAGGTTGGCGGAGGAGATTGGGATGACCTTCAAGAAGCTTGATTCACTTCTGAGCACGTCTCTAGGCACTTGCCATCGAAATTGCCATCGATGACGCGACTGGCCACGTTGTAGTTGTCCATGGAGATCACCGTGATGCCAGGCATGAAGTTGAGCACCTGCAGCAGATAATAACGCGTACAAGGAGGAGCACAGTACCGTCAAATGATCATGCGGAAGCAACGGCGTCTAGCAAGCAAGAAAAAGCACACGCTACTCAGCAGCTTAACCCTTTTTATTGCAATGTCAGGAAGCATTATACAGCACTGATGTTACTTAGTTGATTGTACATCGGGTTACATCTACTGAGTCACACATACGCGTCCCAGAACAGAACGCTGATCTTACATGAACCAGCAGTACACTGTACACCTGACAGAATTCTTCAACACCCTTCTATATTACTTTCCTCGGGAATCCCATGAAGTCGGTTTCAGGGGTTTCAATGCTGCAGAATGGCGCGTGGCCATACATTGGCACTGAAGACCATTTGCCGGCCCCAGACGGGCCCGCGAGAACCGCTCGCCAATACACCGCTCCCTCATAAATACCGCACACTGGCTGGACTTTAAGTTGACTCACAATTCACGTCGTTTTTTTGCTGTGCGAGCTCGACCTATCAAAGCTCTTCAGCCACAGCGCGCCTAAGACCATGCTTACCTTGGGAATCCCCGAGGCGTGCACGCGGTTTCAGGGGTTTCAGGGCCGCAGAATGGAATGGCGCGTGGCCATACCTTGGCGCTGAAGACCGTTTTGCCGGCGCCAGACGGGCCCGCGAGTCCCACCAGCACCATCCCTTCGTTGTTCTGCCAAGGCAGGCACGTACGGGCGGGAGGTGCGGGCAAGAGGTATGGGAGGCAGGTGCGGGCGGGAGGTATGGGAAGGGGGGCGTGAGATAGATTCAGAAAGGGGGATGGGTTTGAAGAGCGGGCGAGGGAGGTGAATGAAGGATGGTAGGTGACGTGTCACACTTGCGGACTGCGACACGGCCGGGACTCACGAGAGCCCTGCCTTGCTTGATCTGCCATGGGAAGAATAAGGACGAGCGGAGGGGACAGCAGCTACGTCGGCGTAGCCAGCAACGGCGTCGGTGATGTCGGCGGGATGATATCAGCCGTGGTGGTTTCGCCGAGATTTGGGATGGCTACAGCTGAGATAAAGCCGTGCGCGAAACGGCGAATCTCTAGGAAACGACTTGGAAACCAGACTAGCTGGGAGCGATGTTCGTCAAACATCTATATCGTTGCGCGGATCCTCCAGCGGTTCTAGTTTTGCTGATCGTCGCGCCGATGATTGATCGTTGCGCTAATATCTGCGCTGATCGTTGCGCTAATATCTGCGCTGATCGTTGCGCTGATCATCGCGCTGATCATTACGCTTATGGCTCCGCTTATCATCGTGCCGATCGTTGTACTGATCGCTGCTTGCGCTGCTGGTTGGAGATCATTCCACACCTTTCCTGACAGGATTAGCTCGCACAAATGCCTAATTTACGATCTCCGTCGATCCTCCTCAGCAGATCGCCGTCAATTATCAGTATATCTCGCTGTGAATCATGAGAGGTTACCTGAGTTAGCAGCTGCACGGCTCGAATGAACAGAAAGAAGCCCTTCTCGAAGGACAGGGTTTCCGGGATCACCGCGATCTCCTTGCGCTCCTTGCCGTCCGGCGTCTTCCGCGCTACCAGCTGCAGCTGCTGCTTCAGCAGCCGTCCGCGCCGGTGCTGCTCCATCGAGATCGCTCCGCCGCGCGACGGAACCGACTGGCTTTCAACCGCCGTGTCGTAACTCATTCTGGCGATAACGCTTTTGGATGTACGGTAAGCTGCAAAGATCGAGGTTATATTCGAACTAAAGCCAGTCAGTCAGGCAATAGCTTGAGACTGTACAAAGATTTTGCGAATGAGTCTTGCTCGGGTCGAGATTATCGAGAATAATATCGTTTTTCCAGGAACCAAAGCCCGGGAACAAGTCTCAGGTAAGCAGCCACCAGAACGCATTTGCGGCAACTGCAGCCATGAGATCAATTGCTACTGAGACGCGAACACTGGAATAAGCACTCAGGAACTGCGAAAAGCGTAACTCTCATGTCTTAGCCATGTCTCTCACCTACCCTGCTGTACCTAGAACCTCGAAGCGCGTCTTCCATCCCCAAACAACCAACGAAACCATTGCCGATGCCGCCCTTCCCACCTATTCAGCTGCCTCGAGAGTGTCGAAGCCCCAACAGACAGGCCAGGAAATGCGGGGCAGTGGATGCTTGTGTGGCTGGTACACATGATGCCCAACCAGTGCACGCGGATTTGCCATGCCCCGGATGGAAACGCTGCACCCGATGTTTCCAACCCGGGCAAATGCACCCACGGTACAGACACGTGGATGGCAGGGTACTGTGCACGCGCTTCGAACGATTCTGCACGTGCAGTCCGAAACAAACCAGGCCGACCCTGGTTTTCTCAGTATTTAGGCCAGAAGACACACACCCGAAATGTGTGAACGAAACCCGCTTGGCTTCGTAAATGCATTCGCCAAACTTCCCTGCCAGGTAAGCGAGATTCATAGTGCATGTAACAGTCAGACTGGCAGGTTCACCTTGCCACGTGTAACCTGCACTTGTAGGGTACAAGAGCATTAGCAACCAAGCATTGTTCGCCCTGCCCACGTCAGGCGTCCTAATATGTGGTTACAAATCACAGTGCCCCCACCCTCAGACCAAATACACGAAACGAACCTGGCACAGAACACACCGCCATCCACTCGGAACAGGCCCTTAGCGAGCATCACTGGGCGAGTAACTCAACTTTAAAACAACGGCATTTACTTCACTTATGCATCAGTTTCTCACACCCCCGCCATTCAACATGCCTCGGTTCCACCGCCGTGAGCAGCTCCCTGTGCACATTAAGCGCGCCATTTGTCTCCACCATGTGGAGAACCCGCGCCTGCGTCACGTTGACCTGGCGCGGTGGTGCTACTCCCAGTATCGCCTTCGACCGGACCGCTCCACCATCGGCCGCATCCTGAAAAGCGCCGACCGCTGGGCTGTGGTCGAGACAGGCGACAACCCAATCCGCCGACGGGGAGGCGCATGGCCTCAGCTGGAGCAGGCCATGGCAAGGTGGATCTCGAACGCGGGGCCGGCAGGCGTCCCGTTGACGCTGCAAACCATCCGCGACCACGTCGCGACGATGGCTCGTAACATGGGCATTCCGCCCATGTTTCGATGCTCCATCGGATGGGTGCGGCGTGCGTTGCGGCGGCAGGGAGTGAGGTGCCGTGCATCTGTCGGCGAGGCGGCCAGCGCGGACCATGCCGCTGTGCGCGACTGCCAGGAGAAGCTCCCGCGGCTTCTCATGCATCTCTCCGCCCGTCCGCGTGACACGTACAACCTCGACGAAACCGCGCTATGGCTGTCCGTGCTCCCGCGGCGTACTTACAGCAACGCTCGTATTCCTGGGCGGAAGGTGTCGAAGGAACGCCTTACCGTTGCGTTTCTCGTCAATGCCGACGGGAGCCACGCGTTTCGTCCGTTGGTCATCTCTAAGGCGAGGCGCCCGCATGACTTTCGCCCGGACTACGACCCTGAAACGCTTTGTTACTGGCGTAACAACGCCAAAGGATGGATGACGGCGCCGGTGAGATTGTGTGGCATTTCTAGTTCTAGTAGGTGCGCGTTTGGTTGTTGTTTAAGCTTACGCATTGCCACAATGATCGCGCCATGTGACTTGTACTATGCGGCGCACCGTATCATCACCTCAAATGCGGCTATCCCGCTCCCATCGCTTCCCTCCCACAGCTGTTCACACACTTCATTGAACAGCTCAATGCGGCCATGTATGCTGAGGGCCGCCACATCGTCATTCTCCTCGACAACGCGAGCTCGCACATGCTCAGGAGCGAGTTTGGGTGGAGCGAAATAGTGTGCGGCCTTCGCACGACCTGCCTTAGCAACCTACGCCTGGTCTTCCTGCCGCCTAACACGACGGCCTTCACCCAGCCGCTCGACCAGGGGATAATTGCAACCGCCAAGGCGCGCTACCGCCAGCACTGGTTGCGGGCCTTCACGGCGCTATGGAACGCGGACGGAGCCACCAGCGCCGCCGCGCGGTTTCGCCCGAATCTGCGCGACGTCCTGGCGTGGCTCTCGGACGCGTGGACCGGCATCGGTCCGCGCACCATCCAGCGGTGCTGGTGGCGTACGGGGTGCCTCCCGCATTCGTGGGCCATGGAGCTGCCGCACGTGCATGACGACGAGCCCACCCCGTCCGCCTATCCCGACATCGAGCTTGATGACGAGATAGGCGACGTCGGGACTCTCATCTCTGGGCTTCGTCTCGGGCATGGGGCGATGTCCGCGGCTGATTACGTGGCCATCGACGATGGTGAGCCGACGTGCGCCGAGGGCGCGGCGGATCCGACTGAGCCGGATGCGGGCTGGGGGGTGGAAATGTGGGAGGCGACCACCACCATACAGGCCGTGTATGAGGATGCCGACCCCGTGAGCCGTGAAGCGCGTCGCACGGCTCGAGCGGCGTGCGAGATGCTCATTGGCTATGCGCGCGCCATCAGCATCCAGCCGCGCGACCTGTGCCACCTTTTCGACATCCGCAACCCGGTGATCATTGCGCGCATGGAGCGGGCGAGCCCGCCCATTAATCTCAACGTGACCCCGCCGGCCGCGCGCACGCCAGGCGCAACACCGACGCCCGACACCCCGCGTCCGCGGGGCCGAGTGCTGCCTGGCTGGATGACCCAGCCTTCCCGCCGTCAGCAGCTGCTGGACGCCGGTGTTGGCGCCGTGATGGGCGGGTACACAGACGAGGCGGAGTGGATGCGTCTGTGATTGAATTTGACCCCCCCCCCCCGAAAGAGCAAAAGGCTCTTTGATGTGCTCGTGTGTTCACTCCTTGTGCACCTTTGTGAACGATTCTCTGTGCTGCACACAATTGACGGTGGGGGCCAGGTGGGAGATTCCCATTGGAGGTTCGACTGGTTTGTATGTTTCTTACTAAGTTAAACATTTGATGTGGATGGAGGGTGGATTGTTCTTGCAATCGTAAGGTAACCAAAAACACACACTAATGACAAGGAGTGCCAACTGTTACTGTTACGAATCAGACAAAATGGGTGGTTAATAGTATCTGCATTGATGCACATATAAGGTGTAACGAAACATACGAACAGCCCACGAAATGAAGGTGTAGCTTACATACCCCCTTCACAAGGCAACCGGGAGGGGCTCAATCGGGCATCAATTGTATGGGAGGAAAATTGTGGTTACAGTAGGAGGGACCACAACAATCAGAATTCAAGCCAATTACGGCTGGATTTGAGGGACGTGTTGGCCTAGCTGACGTGGCGGGATCCAACTTTCGCCACGAAATGCATGTGGCGCACAAGGAACCGTCAGGCGAAAGGGCAAAGTTTCTAGGTTGAAGTCGCGGCGCAGGGTAGAATGGGAGTTGTTTCAGTTGAACTTTGAGCCACTAGTCTTTCCCCTTTTTATTGGTGCAAACTGCACCTAGCGTGCATCTGTTAGTAGCAGAATTTTTTTAAGTTTTACGACACGACTCTGTCCATTGTGCCAGGTGTGTGTGTTCATATTGAAGTTGAAAAGTTCACAGAAATTCATTCATATAAAGAGTAACAAGTCAGAACTGAAGCCAGGTAGCTTTCTAAGGTAAGCTTTCCATATCCCGAAACCAGGTGCAACAGCTCCACTTGCGACCCCACAGCAGCTTGAATTTCTTGTTGACCCCGCTTGGCCGTCAGATGCAAATGCCCCTGACGTTACACCCACGCACCACGATGAGGTGGGGTCATTCGCGTGGGGCCTGTTTTGGAGGGGGTAAGGTAGGTGGGTCGGTTTTAGGGGAAATCCCCTTTGGTACCCAGGCTGTCGGTCGCAACCCGCACCCATCTGTTTACACGCCTCGGGACGAGGTTGTGATTTCCACTCCCAAACGAGTGTGTAGTCCCTTTTAGTGGGACTGGATAGATACGCCGCAGGGGGGATTTGATCCCGGGACCTCATCTTTCGGAAGTGAACCAGCTAACTAGCTAGGCCACTTTAGGATCCTGTTTGGGAGGGGGGGAAAATGGTCAGATCTAGGGACGGGCAGATGAATAAACACCTCGGACGATTCGCCTTCCTTGTCAGAATGTTGTCAGGATGACGGCCAGCCGTCAAGAGAGAGAGGCGTACCTGGGCGTACCTGACACCGTACCAACACACCTGAACCCAATCCATTGCCTGTGCGTTGTGCCTATCCGTACCCACCACCATACCTTCGAACCCACTCACAATACCATGCCGGGCTGCTCCGCTCCCTCCCGCCAAATCTGCGGGGAAGGGCGGGACGAGAGGGGGAAGTCAGATTCCAGCGTCGCTTCTTGCTCCGCGCTCAGGCTCCCCCTCGCTCCAGCTCCGTGCTCCAGCTCAGCGCTGCTCTAATAGCTAGTTTTGTCAGATCGAGGCAGTGAGCATTATTGCTGCCATCAGCGAGCATTTCCTAACACACATCTTGTTGCCGTCGTTCACTAATTCTCGCCTAATTGTAGGCAAAATAGTAGGCTATTAGAATGTGGAGCCTCTAATCTTGTTCTCGGTAGCTTCAATTTTGATATCAGCACCGTAGCTAGTTTCGATCGAGCTTTCTGTCGTACTGCAGTATTCTCCGCTCTAAACGTCTAATGCGGTAACTACTGCCCAATTTTTCGAAGTTACTGTTATTTTCTCTCTCCAGATTTGCGTGGTGGTAAGATCTGGCAATTTTTGTTGGTCATGTACGGTATTTGCGAAGGGTATAGTAACGTTCATCTACGTTTGGGGTATCAGCGTCGATTTGCGGCCACATTCGAAACTAAAAATTTGCGGGCTATTTTGAGTCAAATATAAAAACCTGCTCAGAAATTTGTAACGTTTTATTCAGGGAGACATATCACGCAAACGCATGTTACGGACCGTTGCGCACGACACTGGAAAAAGGGATGTCGGGAGGGAGTTGAGGGGTAAGTGAGCGGAGGGAGGGGGAACGGACGGGCGAGAGATGACAGGCGGAGCGGCCTATTCTTCCTGATTTTCCCCTATCTTTCCCTGCGCTTTCCTCCTCCTCCCCCCTCTTCCCCTGGCCTTGCCTAGAAGCGTCACAAATCCCTTATTCCCACTTCTCTCCCTCCCTCAAGCCCTCTCCTCATTTCCCCGTTCTCCCCTCGCCTCCCCCGCTTTCTCCTCCTCTTCCCCGCTCTCCCTTCATCTCCCCCGCTCTCCCCTCATCTCCCGCTCTCCCCCTCCTCTTCCCCGCAACTCCCCTCATCTCCGCTCACCCCTCTTTCCAGGCCTCTCCCACCCTCTTTCTCCCACCCTCTTTCTCCCACCCTCTTTCTCCCACCCTCTTTCTCCCACCCTCTTTCTCCCACCCTCTTTCTCCCACCCTCTTTCTCCCACCCTCTTTCTCCCACCCTCTTTCTCCCACCCTCTTTCTCCCACCCTCTTTCTCCCACCCTCTTTCTCCCACCCTCTTTCTCCCACCCTTCATCTCCCTCCCCCTTCTCCCCTCCTTTCTCCCCCGCCCCCACCCCTCATCTCCTTCACCCACCTCCCCCCTCACCACGTCCTTACCATCCCTCATTCTCCCCCGCCCTCCCCTTTCTTTTCCCCCACTCAACCCTCCCCGCCCATGCACCCCCCATTAGCATCCCCATCCATCCCTGCTCCCTCTCTTCCCTTTTTGAGGCTCCCTAAAATTTCCCAACCCCACTCAACTATCATCTGCCCCCACCCATCCACTCCCCATGTGCATCCCCATCCATCTCTGCACCCCCTTCTTGTTCCCCATTTTGCATAACCGGCAGTTCGTTAAAGCTCTTCCCCACTTCCCCCCATGCCATCTCCCACTCCCTCAACTTCCCTCTTCCCTCAACCTCTCATCTTCCCTCTCTCCCCCTTCCCCACCCTGCTGCTACTTGCCTTCCCTCCATCTCTCTAGATACGGTACTTGCCTTAGCTACTTATTGTTGCTGTGCTACCGTACTTGCAACTGCTGTCAAGTCAGCGCAGTGCATTCTTTTCCTCTTCTGTCTGCTTGCTTATGCTTGACTCCTCAGCTTCTCTCCATGTGGCCGCTTGCCATTGCAGCTTGGCACTTGACTTCTTAGCTCCTCAATGTGCCTGATCTGGCAATCAACTCATCTCCTGTGTGTAATGCTGAGTGGTATGCTATAATTTTGTACAAGTACACATTGTTTCCATGTACGAAGCAGCTTACAAACTAAGCATCCTGGGTAGCTGGAGGTGATTTTATGACTGCAGGTGTGGTATAAACTTTATGTTCCATATCATTCCAGTACAATACTTCAGATGGAAGTTTTCCATGACAAATTATCAGATTACATGGTGTGCATGAAACAGTTCTGTCGATTGGTGACAAAGTGACTTCTGGTGTGTTTGGGTTCGAACGTTGCACCAAGATATCCACGAAATATGTCTGTGTGAAAACGACAGTAATAAGAAGAACTAAGTCAAAAAAAGTACACACCAAGTGCTGCTAAGTGCAAATCCAGGCAGCAGACTAACTCTACTGCTTGCTCCATTCCCCAACATCCCTGTGCATTTCTAAGCTCATTTCGAGTCAGTGAAGTCGGCATCAATCACATCATTGGGGTTGCCTCCAGCAGCACCGCCAGGTGTGGGACCGGCACCAGGAGCAGCACCATCAGCACCAGGAGCCCCTCCTTGGGAATACACGGCTTGACCAAGCTTCATCACCTCCTGGTTGAGGTCGTTCATCTTGTCCTTAATTGCCTGGATGTTATCCCCGCCCGCCACAGCCTTCAGATCAGCCACCTTGGACTCAACACCCGCCTTCACGTCTGCAGGATCCTACCTTCTCCGCAAGCTCCTTGAGCTGCTTCTCAGTCTGGTAGATCATGGAATCAGCCTGGTTTTTCACGTCCACAGCCTCTCTCTTCTCCTTGTCCTCCGCTGCGAATTTCTCAGCCTCCTCAACCATCTTTGCCACCTCGTCCTTGGGAAGAGTTGAAGCGCCCGTGATGGTGATATCCTGCTTCTTGCCGGTGCCCTTGTCCGAAGCTTGCACTGACAGAATGCCGTTCGCGTCAATGTCAAACCGGACCTCAATTTGCGGAATCCCGCGGGGAGCGGGAGGAATGCCGTCCAACCTGAAGCTTCCAAGGGACTTATTGTCACGGACGAATTCACGCTCGCCCTGAAGCACATTGATCTCCACGCTCGTCTGACCATCCGCGGCGGTTGAAAACACCTCGGATTTTGATGTGGGGAGTGTGGTATTCCTGGGGATAATCTTGGTCATCACCCCTCCGAGCGTCTCCAGGCCGAGGGACAGCGGAGTCACGTCCAGCAGAACAATATCCGACACTTCACCAGCCAGCACTCCGGCTTGCACAGCAGCGCCAAGAGCCACTACCTCGTCGGGGTTGACAGAGACGTTGGGCTCCTTGCCTGTGAGCTTCTTCACTAGCTCTTGCACGGCGGGGATGCGGGTGGAGCCGCCGACCAGAATCACCTCCTGCAGGTCGGAGTAGCTCAGCTTAGCATCGCGGAGGGCAGTCTCCACAGGGGTCTTGCACCTGGGGGAAGACAGAGGGAGAGAGCGTGCGCGCAGGATGCGAATTGCGTTAAATTTAGGTGCAAAAATGTTTGAGAGACATCGTTACCTCGGAAAAACTTTTGGTTTCCATTCGCAATGACGTTTCACCCTCTCGAGATGTGACACTATGTGAAAACATCCATTCAACCAGGCATTTCAAGCGCATGGCTCACCTGTCGAGCAGGTCGGAGCAGAGCTCCTCGAACTTGGCGCGAGTGAGGTTGGTGTCGATGTGCTTGGGACCGTCCGCAGTGGCCGTGATGAACGGCAGGCTGAGAGAGGAGCGGAATTGACGGGATAGAGGGGCGGGGAGAGGGCGAAGTTGAGCACGAAAGCAAGGAAGGAGGTTCGTGTCCGTGAACAAAGTCTAAACGTTGATGTCATTCCACAGGTTCTTAGCTTTTTAGACACCATGTGAATCATCCCTAATGCAACGGGAAACTACTCCAGAATCCCAAACCCTCAACAGGTCAAAGTCTGCTTCCCAACAAAAAATAAGAAGAGGAAGACGAGAGAGGGAGAGAGAGAAAAAAACACCCAGTGACGCGCGCAGGAATCCCTACCTGATGGAGGTCTGGGTAAGCGTCGAGAGCTCCATCTTGGCCTTCTCGGCGGCCTCCGTGAGGCGCTGCAGCGCCTGCTTGTCCTTGGTGAGGTCCACGCCCTCGTCGCGCTTGAAGGCGTCCGCCAGCCAGTCCACGATGCGCTTGTCGAAGTCGTCTCCTCCCAGATGCGTGTCGCCGGAGGTGGAGAGCACCTCGAACACGCCGTCACCCACCTCCAGGACTGGCGAGGGAAGCACGAATGAGCGAAAAGGAGCACGATTTAACACAAAGAAAACACAGGAGCAGATAGAAGGACAAGTGGGACGAAGCAAGGCAGAGGAGTAAATTTGTTGTACGCGGCTTCGAATCCGAATTCATGAGTGAGTGATCAATCTGAATGCGACTTACCAGACACGTCGAAGGTTCCGCCGCCGAGGTCGAACACGAGGATCGTCTCGTTGCTCTTCTTGTCGAATCCGTACGCGAGCGACGCGGCCGTCGGCTCGTTGATAATACGAAGCACATCAATACCGGCGATGCGACCGGCGTCCTTGGTCGCAGTCCTCTGGCTGTCGTTGAAGTACGCGGGAACGGTTACCACCGCCTTCGTCACCTTGTCGTTAAGGAACTTCGCCGCGTCGTCGACCAGCTTGCGCAGCACCTGGGCGGAAATTTCCTCCGCGGCAAATTGCTTCCCGATGGCCGGGCACTCGAGCTTCACATTCCCGTTCGAGTCGCGAATCACGTGGTAAGACACCTGCTTCGACTCGTCCTTAACCTCGTCCATCTTCCGCCCGATAAACCTCTTCACCGAGAAAAACGTGTTCTCGGGATTCACGACGGCCTGTCGCTTGGCGATCTGCCCGACGAGCCTGTCGCCGTTCTTCGTGTATGCGACGACGGACGGCGTCGTACGCTGGCCCTCCGCGTTAGTGACGATCGTCGGCTTGCCTCCCTCCATGGCTGCGACGGCGGAGTTAGTGGTCCCGAGATCGATTCCCACCACCTTCTCGCAAACCACATAGAGGCGACCATCGGACTTGGAGCCGGCAGCCTTGCACCTAGAGAAAGGTCGGAGAGATCGCAGAGCAAGAACGGGACGAGGTCAGCTAATAGAACCATGGTAATAAAATCAAATACCGGAAAGCGGAAAGCACGTGAGGATTCCACAACTTGATCTCCTTCGAGATCCGGAAAGAACCGATGGGGTGATACAATGGATTTCATCACCGTCAGGTGCTTGCCGTGAATAAACCCTAGTGGAGTGGCGTACCGAAGCATATCTCTACATACGATAGTTTGGTTTCTATTCGTTGGTGAAAGCGGGAGGAGCTTACCTGGCGGCCTTCTTGGCAATGGCAGCCTTGAGCGAGGAGGATCCTGAGAAGAAGTTGGCATTGCGAACGCCAGTGGCCTTCTGAGCAGGCCCTGAGACGCGGAGGCCACTCAGGCCCTGCGCGGCGGCGTGAACGGACTGTGAAACGGCAGCCATTGTTCTTTGACGAAGAACGAGCGACGAGTGTGGTGTGAGGGAAATCGTCAAAGGAGAGTTAGGAAGAGGGAAATCGATTCAGAAGCTCTTAGTGAAATAGAGCTCAATAGTCCGTGCGGGAAAAGAACCCAGAAATCCGGGATCAGGAACTGAGGTAAGTAGAATACGGACGGAAATTTCAAGGTCTGTGAGATTGGATAAATTGAAGGCACCAGCGGAGAGTTCTGTGAAGTGAAGGGCAGCAGAAGCACCTAGAAGCAGCAGAAACTGACGGTCACAGGTCGCCAACAGTTCGCCAATTCGCCAGGAGCAGGTTTCACAGGTTGTGTTACTGATTTGTGCGCAAGGGACTGCGATCGTCAGAGCGTTGCGAAAGAGAGTTGCCGAAAGCTCTGATAGTAGTCGTTAAAGTGTTGAATGATGTGCTAACGGCCGCTGAGCTTGCTAATATAGTGGCACCACACGTGGCGTCCAGAAGTGTCCCTCTTCCACGTGGATTACGAAATGAGTGCCGCGTCATTAGCGGCGCGGCTCAGTTCGCTTCCGTGGTTTCGGGTAGTCACCAGAAGCTCATCCTGCTCGTCACCGTTGGCGTGAGGTGGAAGGAAGCTTTGACGGTGGCGATTGCGTGGGCCCATACCCAATTCCAGGTTCATCGCGAAGGACTCGTTTTCGAGAAAAGGCTTCCCAACGTTTCTGGAAATCTCTCGAATACAGTACGAGACTCAACAGATGATATGATAGCAAGTAAACACAAATAAAAAAACGAAACAAAGTTTGCATGAAACTAAATGAGATGATACACATATAAGGCCTTCTTGCTCCATACATATTCTAAAAACTTGCTTATATTTTGTTATTTGAAGCTTCTTTTGAAGCCTTTACTGTAAAAAATCCCGAAATTGATGCATTATTTACTGAGCTTTTAAAGCAGCAGTATACATTTGAAAGTACTGTTGATTTTGGAACAGTACCCACCAAAAGCAAACCCCAACGAAAACGAACAGGCTTGGCGAGAGGGTCGGCGAAAGTTTGGAAGGCTGTTAGTTGCGAACACGAGAAACTCTCCCGTCACCCAACACCTGGAGTGACACTCAGACACTAGGAAATGCCTTTCCACAGGCAATATATAAGGTGACTAAGGGGGCCGAGGAGTAGCGGTACCACTAAGAAACTCGCTGTTGGTAAGGGGACACGTGTCACAAGCATTTCTACAACACCCTACTCTCTGATGACTAGACTCGTTCTAAGGCCACGCACGCGATGTAGGAATAGCCTTCGAAGAGGCGCGCCGCATTCCATGCGCTCTCCTCGCTGGCGATATTCTCGCGAAACCTGCAGCTCGATCGCCGAACCCGCAGCTCACGACACCCTCTTAGCGCGTCACCCGCGACTCGCCTAATGCCACACTGCGCGCCCCACCGCTTAGTGCCTAACCGCTAAGCGCCTCACAGCGAAAAGCGCACGATCGCTAAGCGAGCGCCTCACCGCATAGCGCCTCACCGCTCACGCACTGCGATTCCTCTCAAGTTTTAGTGCAGGCGAGTGCTTCTCGAACCCATAGCTCGCCTCTCTTAGCACGCTCACCCTCTGCTGGCCTCACCTGCTGCTCGCGTCTCTGGGCGAATGTCGAATTCGCCCAAAATGCTGCGCTCCGCGAGGCGTTCGCCTCACGCGCTGCTTGCTACCGTTGAATGTGCGCATCGCCATGAATGCGGGGAGCACGTCGTCCAACCTCCTTCCCCGGACCTCTCATTTCCCCTCCCTGTTCCCTCATTTCCCCCCCTCCCTCTCTCTTTTCCCCCACTACTCCTACCCCTTGTTTCCCCCTCTGCTTACCCTCGTTCCCCCCTCTCTTTTCCCTTATTTCCCCCTCTCCTCTCCCTCGTTCCCCCCTCTCCATCCCATCATTTCCCCCTCTGCTTCCCCTCGTTCCCCCCCTCCATCCCCTGATTTCCCCCTCCTTTCCCCCACTGCTTCCCCTCCTTTCCCCCACTGCATCCCCTCCTTTCCCCCGCTGCTTCCCTCCTTTCCTCCGCTGCTTCCCCTCCTTTCCCCCACTGCTTCCCCTCCTTTCCCCCACTGCATCCCTCCCCCCCACTGCTTCCCCTCCTTTCCCCCATTGCATCCCCTCCTTTCCCCCACTGCTTCCCCTCCTTTCCCCCCGTGCTTCCCCTCCTTCCCCCCGTTTCCCTCACTGCCTCCGCTCCCGCTGCCCTTCTCTCACCTGTCCATCCCTTGCCTCCCCTTCGCATCCGTCTAAAGCCGTGAGCGAAATCAGACACAACTTTCCCTCACATCCCCTCTCCCTCCCCCCGTTTGTTACCCATCCCTCCCCCTGTTTGTTACCCATCCATCTCCCTTTCCTTCCCCTCGTTCCCCCCTCTCCTTCCCCTCGTTCCCCCTCGCCTTCCCCTCGTTCCCCCCTCTCCTTCCCCTCGTTCCCCCCTCTCCTTCCCCTCGTTCCCCCTCTCCTTCCCCTCGTTCCCCCCTCTCCTTCCCCTCGTTCCCCCCTCTCCTTCTCCTCGTTCCCCCCTCTCCTTCCCCTCGTCCCCCCCTCTCCTTCACCTCATTTCCCCCTCTGCTTCTCCTCGTCCCCCCCTCTCCTAGCCCTCATTACCCCCTCTCTCTCAAAATAACTAGGCAAGAATGAATGAACTAGCAGAAGTTTGGGTACAAATATGAAACCCTAGTTGGGGTTGTACCCCATATTGGCTACCCCACTACAGCCTACCAACATATAACACATTACAATTTAACACACCCCCATAGGCAAAGTGGGGGAGAACAAAGGGTCACAAGACCAGTCCAGCAAAGCAACGCAAGCCCAGGGTGGATCACAACGTCACCACACTCCGAGCACAAGCAAAGGCCACAAGGCCAGTTCACATGCAGTGCTAGATATAGTACAAGACAAGCAACACAGTGATCAAAACCTAGCAAGCAAGCAACAAGATATATATAAAGTACAGTACAAAGAATGTCAAGCAGTGAGCAAGTGAGGAAACGTGGACACAAGGCCTAAAGAAGTACAGTGCCGCTGATGATCACTAGGCGGGAGCGCCTTGGTGAAGATATCAGCAGTGTTGGCCTTCGAGTCCACGTACACAAGCCGAAGCTGACCGCGCTGCTGAAGCTCTCGAGCAAGAAAGTAGCGAAGAGCAATGTGCTTCGTCCTGTGCTCCAGTCTGTGCTCCTGACACAAGGCAAGAGCCGCCTTGTTGTCACCGTACAGAACTGGAGGAGAACTAGGCCGCTCTCCCAAGTCAGTCAGCAGGTAGGTGAGCCAGCGTAACTCCTGTGCAGCCATGGCTGTGGCGTAGATCTCAGCCTCACAACTAGAGCCGAGAACAGAGGAAGAGCGGGTGGACCGCCACGAGACAGAACCAGAGCCAAGGCTGAAGGTGTAGCCCTGTGACGACCGCTGCGTAGCCAGGTCGTCCACCCAAGAAGCGTCCGAGTGACCAGTGAGGACAACTCTGTCGCGTCCTCCAAGCACCAGCCCCATGCCTGATGTACTGCACAAGTAACGCAGCACCCTCTTAGCAGCCTCCCAGTGCTCTCGCCTGTGTCTCCCAGGCGCAACGTAACGAGCAAGGATGCTAAGAGGGTACGCGAGGTCAGGTCGCGTGCAAGTCATCAGGTACATGAGGCAGCCTACAAGCTCTGGGTACGGGCCACTCGGCTCTACGGACTCGTCCGAAGGTGGAGCTGAGAGCGAGTGGCTGGTAGCCAGAGGTGTGGCCTGAGGTGAGGAGAACTGGAAGCCGAAGCGCTGAAGGACCTGCTGCACCATGTGTGACTGAGTCAGGGTGATGGTGCGGCGAGCTCTGTCCCGGGTGATCTGCAAGCCAAGGTAGCTACGCAGTTCACCCAGGTCAGTGCAGGTGTGTCTCTTCTGCAGCTCCGACTTCACACGAGCGAGTGCCTCAGTGTCAGCAGTAGCAAAGACCAAGTCGTCGACGTACACGAGAATGTAGAACGGCGGCAGCGACGTGTCTGTGCGCAGAAACAGCGACGGGTCAGCAGTAGACGGCGCGAACCCAAGAGCCGCAAGTGTAGTCCTCAGTGTGTCGTGCCACTCACGTGGCGCCTGGCGGAGACCGTAGACTGGCCGGCGGAGACTCCACTGGGTACCAGGGGGAAACGACCCAGTAAAGCCAGGTGGGCGGCGCAGCCAGATCTCCTCGTGCAGGCTGCCCTGCAGGAACGCTGTGCTGAAGTCAAGAGAGTGAAGCTCGTAGTCACGCTGAGCAGCAACGTGCAGCAGAACCCGAAGAGTGGTCATCTTCGGGGTGGGGGAGAAGGTCTGGAAGAAGTCGACCCCCTGACGCTGACTGAAGCCTCTAGCAACGTAACGAGCCTTGAAGACAGGCGGAGAACCTGGCGGCCGCTTCACCCTGAAAATCCACATGCCATCGACGATGTTCGCCCCAGGAGGGGGAACCTCGTCGACGTAGGTGCCTGTGGACTTCCAGGATGCCATCTCTGCGTCCATGGCTGTCTGCCACTGAGAGGAGTAGGGACCCGAGATCGCCTCTGCGTAAGTGCGCGGAGTGGGGATGTCTAGTGCATCCGGGTCTCCCTCAGGGGCAAGCAACCAGGCCACGAGATGAGGTACAGCAGCCGCAAGAGAGTCAAAGTCCTCCTGCCTGTCCTCAAGGACGTCCGTGCCAAGAGCACACTCACCCCCGACGGACGGAGGACAGACAGACGCAGACTCAGACTCAGCAACAAGGCTAGCAGCGTAGTCTAGACGACAGGCAGCAGCAAAGTCAACCAACTCAGCGACCAGAGCAGACGCAGCCGAGGACTCAAAGGTAGGGTCAGTGACAACAGTAGCTAGGAGACGCGTGACAGTAGGGTGCTCAGCGCGATACCGGTCAGACTCAGGGTCCGGAACGGCAGGCAAAGAGGACGCAGGAGGAGACGGTAGAGGGACACGCTGAGGAGCAGTAGAGGGACGCAGAGTCATGTAGTGAGTGCCTGGGACAGGAGGAGGACGCTCACGACGGACACGACGAGCAGTGCGAGCAGGACGAACAGGCGACGCAGGACGAGACTCAGGCTCACGACGCTCTGTAAGACCTCCTGTGGGACCAGTGTAAGGAGAGGGAGCAGGGAGAGGCGAGGTAGGCGGTAACTGTGACTGCGGCTGGACAGGCGGAGGACACTCTACGGAGGGAGGAGGACAAGGAGGAGGAGCCTGCCTAAGAACCTGCTGAAGGAGCGGTACGAAGTACGGTCGCGGCCGCGCAGCGTCTCCAGAAGCAGAAGAGACTCCAGCGGCCGGGTCCTCAGTACCAGCAGGAGCCCCAGCGTCCGAGTCCCCAGCACCAGCAGCAGCGCCACCGCTCGGGTCCCCAGCTCCAGCAGCAGCTCCACCAGGTGGGTCCGCAGCACCAGCAGCAGCGCCACCCCCAGGGTCCGCAGCACCGCTAGGAAGAGCACCCCCAGAGTCGGCAGCTCCAACTCCGCTAGCACCACCAGCTCCAGAGGCCCCAGCTCCAGCAGCTCCAGTCGTAGTGCTCCCAGAACAACCAGTCCCGGCAGCTCCAGTACCCCCAGTACGAGCACCCCCAGGACGAGCAGCTCCAGCACCCCCAACTCCAGCCGAGCCACTAGGACGGCGAAAGCGCCGGACGTACCAGTCACGAAGCTGCTGCGGTGTGAGAGACTGCTCAGCACCCCGAACCGGAGCACCCCCAGACGCAGCAACCCGAGGCTCCGTAGGCTCAGTAGCAGCACCCCCAGGCTCAGCACCCCCAGACTCCGCACACGCAGGCTCAGCACCCCCAGTCGCAGCACCCCCAGGCTCAGCACCCCCAGCTCCAGCACCCGCAGTCCCAGCACTCCCAGGCCCAGCACCCGCAGGCTCAGCACCCCCAGGCTCAGCACTCCCAGCAGTACCACCTGCAGCAGCACCTGAGTCACCTGTGACCTCGACAGGCTCAGCGACGGGAGGAGGGTCTACCTGAGAGACACCTGAAGGAGCAGGACCCTGAGGGGGAAGGGGGTCTACCGGAGGGGGACCAGGAGCAAGGAAAAGCGGCGGGGGAGGGAGGGGGGCAGTGCGGTAGGGGAAGAGACGGTAAAAAGGGACCGACTCGTCAAAGGTGACGTCCTGAGAGGCGAAGACCCGGCGCGAGGTGGGGTGGTAAAACTGCCAGCCCGGCGCGTCAGGGACAAAGCCAAGGAAGACACAGGGAAGCGTGCGGGAGGAGAGCTTGTCCGCGGACGTATCGCGGACCAGGGCTCGAGCACCCCACACCCGGAAGCGCGACGCATCGCCAACCTCCCCCGTCCAACGCAGTGTGGGCGAGGTCTCCGGCAAGGAGACACGGGGCCAGAGGTTGAGCTGATGCGCGGCGTACCGGACAGCAAACGGCCACAGAAAATGGGGAGCCGCCGCGTGGACCAAGGAGGTACGAGCGACCTCCATGACCAGGCCAATGCGGCGCTCAGCAACCCCATTCTGCTGTGGGGAGTCCGGAAGCGTGAAGGTCTGCTCGATGCCCTCCGCCTGACAGAAGGTCCTCAAGAGATCGGAGGAAAACTCACCACCTCTGTCAGAGTGCAGACGCAGGACAGGAAGATCCGTCCGAAAACGGCGGCGGAGCTGGAGACGAACTGTGCGGATCCAAGGGATCAGAACAGCAGGGACCTCACCCTTGGTGCGCAAGGGGAAGACCGTGGTGTAACGCGAGTAGTCGTCGACAACCAGCAAAAAGTACCGCTCACCGCCCTGACCACGAACGCGGGCTGGGCCCCACACGTCCAGGTGGAGGGTCTGCAGAGGAGCCTCTGTCAGGGGGAACGAGGAGGAGTGAGGAGCGGCGCGCTGCCGCCCCTCGACGCAAGGAAGGCAAGGCGGCGCAGGCGAGGCAGGGAGGGGAGGGAGGGACCTGGGAAGACCAGACACAAGGTGGCGACGGTGCATGCCACGAAGGCGTGGCAAGGAGGGGTGACCCAGGCGGTGGTGCCAGAGAAGAGTCTGGTGCGACAGGGAACGACACTCACAGGCGTGGGCCACCAGACCTGACGCAGACACCTGACCGACAGCAGCGACCTGAGGAGACGCAGTGGTCAGTGTGTAGAGACTCGACCCCGGCCGACGGGTAAACGTAGCCAGGTGACGGCCGGTCCTGGAGCACGTGCAGATCGCCACACGCTGTCCTCCAGGGGTAAAGGTGTCAACCCACTGATCCTGGATGACAGCGTTGCTCACCAGGTTCGTCGAGAACGAGGGGAGGTGGAAACCCGACAACGAGCCAGACGGAACCGCCGGACAAGGGAGTACAGTGGTGGACTGGGCAAGGACTGGGCCCCCAGAGGGGTCAGCCAAGGAGACTGGGACCGGTGCAGGAAGCGGTGTGAGCTCAGTACTGTCACGAAAGAAACAACGGGAAGCACCTGAGTCAAGGGTGAAGGTGTGACAGGCCTCAGCCGGTGCGGTACCTGAGAGAGCAGTCTCTGTGGGTGCTGTACCTGAGAGAGCAGACTCACTAGTACCCAGGGCAGCGGGCTCTATACCTGGGTCAGGCGGCACACACAAGTAACAGTCTCCCTCGGCACTAACAGTCAATGCATACATGGCAGCAATAATAGCATCATAGTCAAGAGCAAAGACATCAACACCAGCCCTCATGAGCTCAGCCCAGCGGGGGCGCTCAACATCCTCACCCATCTCCTCACGCCAAGCGTCATCAAGGCGGGAGAAGCAGCGGTACGGGGTGTGGAACCTCCCACACGTCTGTCCCTTGCGGTCACCTGTGCGAATGACATAGGAACAGCGGCCACTGCCCCCCGACGTCCCACGCTGAGCAAGCCACTCACGAAGCTGCTGGGTCGTCTGGGGACGCTGCTGCTGCTGGGAGCTCTGGCCCGAGCCAGTGCCTCCACTCCGACCTCCGCCGCCACCACTACCACCGCTCCGACCGCCACCGCCACCACCGCCACCACCGCCACCGCCGCCACCACCGCCGCCGCCACTACTGCCACTGCTTCCTCCGCCGCCCCCGCCTCCACCGCCGACCCCACTCCCACCAGCGCTCCCGCCACCGCTCCCTCCAGCACCGCCTCCCCCCCCACCTCCCCCACCTCCTCCCCCCCCAGCGCCACCACCACCACCCTTGCCCCCCTTGCCCTTGCCGGTGCGGCGCCTCCCACCAGGAGCAGAAGCAGCGCCAACAGACTCAGCACCAAGGAAGTCAACAGCAGCAGCAGTAGCGTAGGAGGGAGCGAGGGGAGAGGGAGAACACCCCTCAAAGATGGGGGTGCGAGGAGCGCCGCGAGCAGCACCTACAGCTACAATGCTCTTCTCGGCTGCTAGCAGCTTCTCCTCTAGGAGGGCGACAGTGAGCTCAGTGGGACAGCGAGCAAGGAAATAGTCGCGCACTGAGCTGAGGGTGTCAGGGAGACGGGTGACTATGAAGTGGAGTGCCCAGTACAGGGGAGGGGGGTTCTTAGCGCAGAACTCGGTGGGAAGGGCGGCACGCAGGCGAGCATCACTAGTGCGAAGGTGGGTGATAAGATCGGCGACTGTAGCAAAGGTGGACAGGTCAGGGAACAGGTAAGGCAGCATGAGACGGCTAAGCTCGGCTGTGGCAGGTGAGGAGTAGCGAGCAACGACAGCGTCGTATAGGGCTTTAGCGGTTTTGCAGTCGCCAAAGTGCTCTAGCTCAGCTAACGGCAGGTGACTGCGAATAGCCAGGCGAGCTGCAGCGTCACGAGTCTGCCACTGTGAACGTACACTAAGCTCGGCTGTGGCAGCAGGAGCAGCGGCAGCACCAGACGCGTAGTCATAGAGGGAGATGTGGTCCGTGCTATTGCTCATAAGATACAACTGCAGGTCGTCGAGCCAGGAAGTGAACTGCACGGGACGGCCCTCAGCATCGAAGGAAAGAACGCGAATAGAGGCCATAGCTCAGGCGTGAGGGCACAGCAGAGCAGCGGCAGCAGCAGAGGGGACGCGCTAGAGCGAAGCTAGCAGCCACAGCAGGAGCAAGCGGCGGTGCACAGGCAGGGAGCAGCAGGCGAGGCGGGCGGCGCTGCAGGCGGGAAGTGCGGCGGGCGGGCTGCGAAGCGGGCAGCGGGGCGGGCGGGCGACGCGGCGAGCGGGCAGCGCGGCGGGCGGCTGCGAAGCGGGCAGCGGGCGGGCGGGCGACGCTGCAAGCGGGCAGCGAGGCGGGCGGGCGACGCTGCAAGCGGGCAGCGGGCGGGCGGGCGACGCTGCGAGCGGGCAGCGAGCGAGCGGGCGACGCTGCGAAGCGGGCAGCGGGCGAGCGGGCGACACTGCGAGCGGGCAGCAAGCGGGCGGGCGACGCTGCGAAGCGGGCAGCGGGCGGGCGGGCGGCGCTGCGAGCGGGCAGCGAAGCGGGCGGGCCGCGAAGCGGGCAGCGAGCGGGCGGGCGGGCTGCGAAGCGGGCAGCGGGGCGAGCGGGCTGCGAAGCGGGCAGCGGGGCGAGCGGGCGACGCTGCGAGCAGGCAGCGCGGCGGGCGGGCGGCGAGCGGGCAGCGTGGCGGGCGGGCGACGCTGCGAGCAGGCGGCTCGGCGGGCGGGCGACGCTGCGAGGGGCGCGCGAGGGCGCTAGCGAGGGGCGCGCGAGGGCGCTAGCAAGGGGCGCGCGAGGGCGCTAACGAGGGGCGCGCGAGGGCGCTAACGAGGGGCGCGCGAGGGCGCTAACGAGGGGCGCGCGAGGGCGCTAACGAGGGCGCACGAGGGCGCTACGAGGCTAGGGCACGGGGTAGCGTGGTAACCGCATGCGAGCGGTGGTGGGCCCTTAAAAAAAAAAACGGTCGGTAGGTCCTAGGGACCTCCTGCTCTGAATACCATCTCAAAATAACTAGGCAAGAATGAATGAACTAGCAGAAGTTTGGGTACAAATATGAAACCCTAGTTGGGGTTGTACCCCATATTGGCTACCCCACTACAGCCTACCAACATATAACACATTACAATTTAACACTCTCTGCTTCCCCTCGTTCCCCCCCCTCATCCTTGTTCACCCCACAACTTTCCCTCATTTCCTCTCATCACCTCCCCTGCTCCCTCTCACTACCTCCCCAGCTTCCAATCTTTTCTCCCTCTGCTTCCCCTCGTTTCTCCCTCTCTTTCCCTTCATTTCCGTCCCTGCTTCTCCTTTGCCTGCTTTCTCTTCGATTGCGTCTTGCCCACAGTTCCCCCCTTACCCTCCTTCCTCTGTTGTTTTCTATGCTACCGTATCACCCTCCTTTCTCTGAGTTTTTCACCCCTTCTTACGCTTTGTCTCCCCACCTGCTTGCCCTTGTTCGTCTCCACCCCCTTACCCTCCCCCCAACCCGCTCTTCCTGCACGTTTGTACTCTGTCCTCCGGATTTCCAGATCATCTTTACTCGATATCTGCTCTGTGCAGCATGGAGCACAGTGAAGTTGTAATATCAGTCTACAATGTGTGTGCCTCAATGTATCTAGCCATAACATGGTATTACAACTCGTGCCCAATTCTGAATAATGGTAGTGGAATCCAATGGTTGTCATGTGACCTCTGTTCTTTCAAATGGGCACAGCACAGCATTGATGTAGAGAAGAGAAGCTTGAGAGGAGTATGTACACATGATAAAATCATCGCAAAACATTGTACAAGACAGCACCTTCCACTACTCTTTGTGTCGCCTTCATTCCCCCCCAAACTCTTGGACCTGCTGCTCCTCCCTTCATGTCGCCAAAATTGCCCAGGCCTGGCTTTGCCCTGTGTGTAGCAGGATTGCATGCAAAACCTGCAGCTTTGCGTATGCATACTGGCTGTATGACACATGGTGTCGCAACCGTAAATAGTGGGGCCCCGAACCTACGGGAGGGAAGGCAGGGATGTGAGGAGGGAAGGCAGGGATGTGAGGAGGGAAGGCAGGGATGTGAGGAGGGAAGGCAGGGATGTGAGGAGGGAAGGCAGGGATGTGAGGAGGGAAGGCAGGGATGTGAGGAGGGAAGGCAGGGATGTGAGGAGGGAAGGCAGGGATGTGAGGAGGGAAGGCAGGGATGTGAGGAGGGAAGGCAGGGATGTGAGGAGGGAAGGCAGGGATGTGAGGAGGGAAGGCAGGGATGTGAGGAGGGAAGGCAGGGATGTGAGGAGGGAAGGCAGGGATGTGAGGAGGGAAGGCAGGGATGTGAGGAGGGAAGGCAGGGATGTGAGGAGGGAAGGCAGGGATGTGAGGAGGGAAGGCAGGGATGTGAGGAGGGAAGGCAGGGATGTGAGGAGGGAAGGCAGGGATGTGAGGAGGGAAGGCAGGGATACTTGCTCTCATTCCCCCCCCTACATGCCTCCCTCCTCTCATTTCCCCCCCCTTGCTCCCTCGATGTTTCCCCCACTCCTCTCCCCCCACTTCTCCCTCTCATTTCCCCCCTTTATCCATCTCATTCCCCCCCCGTCTCCCCCTCATTGCCCCCACTTCTTCCTCTCATCTCCTCCCTTGCTCCATTTCCAACTCTGCTCTCCCTGACTTCTCTATCTTCTCCTCTCGTTTTACCCTTCTCCCCCTCCCCCCCCCCCTTTCCATCTTGTCCTTTCCCCCAACCCTGTCCGTGGGGTGAGTGAGCTGGCGGGGAAGGGAGAGGAATAAGAGGGGACGGGGGAAGTGCGGATGGCAAGGAGGATTTGAGGGGGAAAAGAGGAGAACAGAGGGTAAGAGAAGCAGGGGGGGAAAACTGAGAGCAGGGGGGAAAAACTGAGAGCAGGGGGGAAAAACTGAGAGCAGGGGGGAAAAACTGAGAGCAGGGGGGAAAAACAGGAGCAGAGGAAGAAAGGAGGAGCAGTGGGTGGAAAGAGGTGCAGTAAGGGAAAGGATGAGCAGAGGGGGGAAAGATAAGCAGAGGGGGACAAGAGGAGCAGAGGGGGAATAGAGGAGCAGAGAGGGAAAGAGGAGCAGAGGGGGAAAGTAAAGTAGGGGGGAAAAAGAGGAGCAGAGGGGGGAAAGAGGAGCAGTGAGGGAAAAGAGGAGAAGAGGGGGAGAAGAGAAGCAGAGGGGGAAAAAGAGCGGAGGTGGGGAAGTTGAGAAGATGGGGAAAGAGGAGCAGAGGGGGAAAATAGGGGAAGCAGGCGGGGAAATGGTGGGAGGCAGGGGGGGAGATGAAGGAGGAAGAGAAGGAGTGGCGGGAGGACGAGAAGGCACGGCGGGAGGGGGAGGAGGCATGGTGGGAGGAGGAGAAGGCATGGTGGGAGAAGTCATGGTGGGAGGAGGAGAGGGGGTGGCGGGAGGAGGAGAAGGCATGGCGGGAGGAGGAGTGGGGGTGGCAGGAAGAGGAGAAGGGGAGAAATGAGGGCAAGCAGGGGAGCATTGAGGGCAAGCAGGGGGAGAAATGCAATCGTGCAAGGGGGAAAACAAGGCGTACAAGGGAGAAAATGAGGGCGTGCAAGGTGGGAAAACGAGGGCGTACAGGTGGGGAAGTGAGGGCGTTCAAGGGGGGTGCAGCGGGGATGCGGAAGCACAGCCGTTGCAAGAGAGTGAGAGGGGGCCGAGGGCCTTATCCGAATGCAGCTCGCGAAAGGAGGCCGCCGAGACGCGGAGAGGCAGCGACGGGAGGCAGGGTGAAGCCGACGACGCTGGCTAGGCCTCGCATGCGCGGGAAAGCGAGAGGAGGCCGCGCGTGGAGGCGAGAGGAGGCCGCGCGGGGAGGCGAGAGTCGCACGCGCGGGGAGGCGAGAGGAGAGCGCGGGGAGGCGAGAGTCGCACGCGCGGGGAGGCCGCGCGGGGAGGCGAGAGGAGAGCGCGGGGAGGAGAGAGGAGAGCGCGGGGAGGCGAGAGTCGCGCGCGTGGGAAGGCGTTAGGAGAGCGCGGGGAGGCAAGAGGAGGAGGCGCGGGGAGGTGAGAGGAGGAGGCGCGGGGAGGCGAGAGGAGCAGGCGCGGGGAGGCGAGAGGAGAACGCGCGGGGAGGCGAGAGGAGAACGCGCGGGGAGGCGAGAGGAGAACGCGCGGCAAGGCGAGAGGAGGCCGCGCGGCAAGGCGAGAGGAGGCCGCGCGGCAAGGCGAGAGGAGGCCGCGCGTGGAGGCGAGAGGAGGCCGCGCGTGGAGGCGAGAGGAGGCCGCGCGTGGAGGCGAGAGGAGGCAGCGCGGGGAAAGCGAGAGTCGAGCGCGCGGGGAGGCGTGAGGAGGCCGCGCGGGGAAAGCGAGAGAAGAGCGCGCGGAGAGGCGAACGCGAGAGGGAGGGCACGCGAGCGGCGAGCGGGAAGCAGCGGCTAACCTCGCGCGGCGAACGGCAGACGGCGAGCTAGGAGTGGAGGACGGGATGGGATGGCAGATGCTAGCGCGTCGAGGCTAAACGGGACTCTGTGGGGAGGGGAGGCGCTGTCGCTAATGGCCTCGCGGTGAGGCAGCGAGAGGAGGTGTGGGGCGGCCTTGTCTAAGTTGGCGTGGCCTCTGCGAGTGCGTACGAATGGGCAATTTGTCCGCGCATGCGCGCAAACAGCGTTACGCGGTTCAATAACAGATTCTTTCCCTAAATTTAGCTGTTTGGTTAGAACGTTGCCTAGCCTACGGGGAATAACCTACCGAAGTAGGAGCGCGTGGGCTTTCCCCTCAATACCGCAGTTTCAGTTTCCTTTTGCAATTCCTAAGGTTTTGAACTGTGAGTGCGGGGAGCTGGACGTGGGGCGTTTGGGGACTCACTTCGCCTGTCAACTGGGGGGTTGGGGTTGTAATCGCGTAACCAGTTTTTCAAGTTCCTAAGGTTTTTGAAACCCCTGCTTGCAAAAGTATACTGTTGCTTTAAACAAAGATTACGTACATTCGGTGACAATAATCTGAACTGATGAGTCTGAATTCTAACGGGCTAAGCTTCCTCTGTTTCGGTTTTGTCCCCGCCAACAGATCTCGCGCACTCCTTACAAGCCATGTCGAAATTCTCACTGCGAATCATACACTGTAAAGAACAGGTTCCCCATGGTCCGTGCGTGTCTGTGGAGACGCTGACCCACCTGCCCAACCAACCACGGCCTCGATTCCGCTGATGGCATGCCACCTGTAACAAGTTTGCCCTCAACACCCCTCACACGCTCTCCAGAAGCGTGCGTGTGTCGTTGAGGCCGTATACGAATGAAATCGTACTGTATTGAGACTGTAATGTAGTTTTTCGAGCCCCACATCCTCGTCCGCAACACGCCCTGCTCGTAACTTTCCACTTTTTTTATGACGCCATCACCGGTCATGTGTGTCCCAAATGAGCTCTGTTGAGAACGAAGGGAACGAGAGTTCTGAACAGGGAGTTCGTAGAAACTCTTTTGAGACCCATGAATAGCCTTTATTATTGTGCTAGACGCCTACGCCAGTTCGTGCTTCGTAAAGATTTTCCCCATGGCCGTGAGTTCGATGTTGGTTGGCAGAGGATCGCTAATTCACTTTCTAGTTGGTCACGACGAAATGTGTAAATCAAACAGGCAACCACCTGTCGCCATAGCCGTTGACACATGCTGCAGGATCAACCGCCATTTATTAAACAGCAGAACAGGGAAACCTCCTTACCTTCACCTCCTCCGTACCTCACCCTACCTGACGAGCCTCGTCAGTTTCTCTGCCCAACGATAACGAAGCTTATGGGCCCACCGATCTGGCGTTTCCTTTTTTCAATACAAAACAGTGTGTTTTCCACTTGTCCCGTTGCGTATGAGTAGGTCGCTCGCTCGCAGCGCATGTTCTGCACTAGGGTGTTGGTGGCGAGCGCACGCGATGGCATCCGATGTGATTTGCATTCGACTTGCAACGAATCTGACGTGTTCGTCGTTCTCCTAAACGCCGTTCGCCATAGCTTACCGATGCGCTTACAGTGCAACCCATGGCTTTTACACCACCAGTGCTGCGAAGCCACACCCGACAGCCTGTAATCAACGACTCGCCGCAAGCTCTCTCATGCTTCAGCAACGCCGCCGCACCTTATACCTACCACGTGTGTAATCGAGGGAATCGGGGACTCGAGTCGAGCCATGCGTTGTCAGGGGTGAGCCGTGCTGAATTGTCGACCCGCTGCGCATTCGATCCATTGACTCGCATTAAAGGATCATTTATCCGTTCGCTAGTCGCCGTTCAATCTCATATCATTCTAACAACGACAGGCCGTAGTCATCATCTATTTCAGGAAGTTCCTGATATCCTTCCATCGATCTAGTCTCGCCGCATTTGCCTTCCCCGTGTTAGTCATTCTGAAAAAGTCGTTGAGAATTTGACAGAAACTTGAGAAGCGATTCTGGAAATTTCACCCATTACCATCATGGACGGCGAAGCACGCAGCTTCAAGGTATCCGCTCATGCCATGCTCGCATCGCGGCTGGCGGTTCCAGAAACTAAGATGATGCGTTCCGGTGACAGAGTAGGCTCGATTGATGTTCTCCAGAGTAGTACTTTCTCAACTCCTTTGTCAAGCGGCTCCTATTTCTCATCCACCGCAACTACCGCTTCTGGCGCTGTTGCCGCTCCCGCCGTCGCCGCTAAGAAACGGACCTGGACTGAAACGTTTGACGATCTTTTCCGGGCACGGCTCGAGCCTTACCCTGTGCGATCCCGTTTAAACGCCGTCAGTCTCGCCAAGAACAATCCGAGTTTCACAGAAACTCCGGATAGTAGCGGCCTGGACAACGTGACTCCGACTGATTCCGCGTCAAACTCAGAGAAAATCCGCGAGGAGAATCAATATCCGGTTTTATCTGGTCTAGCTTCATATCTGCTGAACCAATCGGCGATGCTGCCTGCCTCTGTCCCCGCTATTGCATCTTCAGGGGTGGTTACCCCGAGCAGCAGCGCCTCGCCAGCATGCGAACCTCAACGCAGGTTGAGAGACAACCTTCTGAACCATGGCGCTGGCGGTCGCACCAGCAGCAGGTGCAGCAGCAGCAGCAGCAGTCATGGCAGTGGGCGAGGAGACCTGGGATCTGAGGCCTTAACGCAGCAGCAGCCTGACTCCGTTCAAGCGCTGTCTGCAGCAGCAAGAAGCTTTCCTCGGCCAGTTTCCATGGAAGGATTGTCTGCTCTGCGCGGCGTGCGTGGTGCTCGGAGCGTTCTCGCTAGGGAGTGTATGAACCTGCCGCAATCGCGAGAAGCGACGCCGATTGAGGATAAGGCCCTGGAGAACGCGTGTTCTGGGACGGAGGTGGTTACTACGGAATGCAAGAGAGCAAGATTGCTTGCGGAGGTCAAGCGAGTGGTTGCATCCTCGCCGCAGTCCGTCCTTTCCGCTACTCTCACATGCCCAATGCTCACCAAGGCTGCTAAGAATCGACTGAAGAACCATCGCGTGGCTATGTTGCGTGATGCTACTTCTGGTGGCCGTTCTGACAATGTTCTTGGGCCCAGGAATGAAAATCCGCAACACACTTTAGTGGTTGAGAACAAGGAAGGCAAGGACTGGCCAGTGCTGTTTGGAGTCAGGCTAGTTCCATCCAATATGAGTGTGTGACAACCTACGGACCTTCATGTTCAAGCTTTGTAGTGCTTTTTTTACTTGAAGGTTCAGAAGAGAATGCTAGCTTTCCGAATGATAGTATTGAGGTCTCAACAACCTCTGCTGTGGACATTACAGCTTGCTAAGATGAAGGCGTTTTCATAGTCTTGCTTCTATGCTCCCAGTCTCTTGAGTAACGTGATATTTGAGCGCAACCCATCCGGATGTGGATGATAGTCACCCATTTCCCCAGAAGATCAATTTTATCGCATTAGTTTACAATTGCATTGGTAAAATGCTAGTGTTGAGGGCATTTTTATGAAGTAATTGGGTGTGCGCCAAATCTTCCGACATCATTGGCGCCCTTCTGTCTGATTGGCGTTCGCTGCCAAGTTCTGAAGGTAACTCATACACCAATGTTGCTGATCCACGTGTTCGTTTGTCAGTGAGAGAATGCTTCGTTTCGCAGAGCCTTGGGACCACCAAATCTGTGATTTGACCGTAACTGGTCCTGGCTCGGCTGGGGTCGGGCTTCGCGCGCAGGCGGAACATCATGGGGCAAAAGCGCTGGATCATCCACTTAGCGAAATGCCTTTTCCGCCTGACGCGGGGAAAGTCCCCCGACTATTCCCCAGCACCACCTTTTCCTGCGTCAGCACCCCCATTGGTCAATACATCCACGAGGTCCTTATTCTTTCGCCTGATCCCGATGGGGCAACCCCTCCCCTCCATCAAAGTAGAACCGTCGGTTCGGATCAGCAGAATCTTGGGCGTCTTGGGGCTACTTCGCTTGGGGGAACTTGCTGTGAACGCCATCTCAGCTCCATCCATCACAGCCCTCCTTTCTATCGCCTGAGGGGGATATTTACCGCTCATGAGCCATGCGTAACTCGCGGCGTGAGGTGAAGTGACTCGTGTCATGGGACTTGACTCTCAAGCCAGATCCTTCATTGCTTCCTTCTCGTCACCTTGGGTTCTCTGGGGTGGAGCTGTGCTGGGTCGACTCTTCCGCCCAGTATGGTCTATGTCGCCTGACAGTAGTCCAGAAAAGTGCTTCATCCCGCATTTTTTCGATAGGCTTTGTTGGCCGCGGTGCGTGACGTCAGCCCGGCGATATAGCTAAATCTAGGACGCTAACTGCAGGGAAAGCGGGAGCGGGAGGGGGGAGGAGTTCAACATCTGAACTCGGTAGTGTCATCATTACTCGAACTCAGTAGTCTAAGCTGCAGCTCTCAGGGGTGCTAAATGCTCTGTTCTGTCGACCATTCCGCGGAGTTGAGCGCTCTGTCCTGACGCAGTTCTCGCTCGAGCAGCAGCAGCGTCTTTTTCACACAGCCTCCAGTCGCGAAGGTTCCGATCATTCAGCTGCCAGTCGAGCCGAGGGGTTCGTGTCAGATTTACTGAGTCTTTCGACCGCTGTTGCTCTCCCTCTGGTTGATAATAAGTCCGTCTGGTGCTCCTAGCGATCTGCGCGAACCTCGCAATCGAGCGTTACTGCGAACGTCTAATTGATCATCGCGCGACACTCGACGGCAGCCGGTGCTGCGAGCTAGCGGTCGACGCGACGCGACGCGAATCTCGCAGACCGTTTTTGCGACTCTCAGAAGCGAAGCTCGCAGACCGTTTTGGAGATTCACAAAGACATCCTGCGAAGCTCGCAGACCGGCGCAATGGACGCTCCAATGGCGATGACCCAGAGCCCTACTGATGCGCAGGGCGCCGGTGGTGATTATATCGAAGGGAAGACCTCTACAGCTGTCAGCCTTCCAGATGCGTGGCGGGAGCGGTTCAGGGACCTGATCACGGTGAGCCTCTGCGGGTGTGACTATAGTGAGGTCGACGCGATTAGGTCATACTGCTATGAGACTGTAAAACAGCATCCCCTTTCCCCCCATTCCCGTTGCACATTTCCCCTTTTTTCCCTTTTTCCGCTTCTCCCGTGTTCTCCTTTCCAGTTTTCCCCTTTTCCCATTTCCCCGTCCCTCTCCCTCGCATTACCGGACACATCGCATAACTGGCGTCATGCAGTATCGACCTTGGAGCTCTTTTCCGCCGCGTTCTCTCGACTTGCAAGAAAGCCCCATCTTTCCTTCCCTCTGTCCTCCTGTCTTTCTCCCATCTGCGCATGGACGAAGCAATGCAGCACCAGGCCATGGAGCTCTCCGCCTTCCGTCCATTAGGCCAACTCACGCTCACGTTCCCTCTTCCTTTCCCCGTGTGCTCTCCCCCCTGCGCCCTCCGCTTTCCCCGTGCCCCGCTTCCCCCTGTGCTCTCCACATTCCCCCTGTGCGCGCAGACCCATCTTCGCATGGACGGCGCAATGCAGCAGCAGGCCATGGAGCTCTTCTCCGCCTTCCAGTCATATTCCCCATTCACCTTTCCTCTTCCTTCGCCCTCCGCTTCCCCCGTCCCCTCCACTGTGCGCATTCCGCATTCCTCCCGTGCGCTCTCCGCCCCCCCCCCCCCGTGCGCGCAGACCCATCTGCGCATGGACGGCGCAATGCAGCAGCAGGCGATGGAGCTCTTCTCCGCCTGCTACGCGCTCCTCGCGCCCTCTCTTGCCTCCTTCGGCGCTCCCGAGGTAAGTCCTCCGTCCGTTCATCTGTTCGTCAGTCCGTTCGTACGTCCGTCAACCTGTCATCCCGTCGCTTCGTTTTGTTCGCTACATGGCATTGTAACCTCCTCAGCCCCCTTGCAACCCTAATGTTTACGCGCGCGCGTGTACGTTATGTTCCGTCTCCGAACGCGGATGCTTTGGCACTCATAAGTGAGTGCGCGCGCATCAAGCCTCACTACTGCTCTCATCTTTCCCAGTCCCCGGAGGACAGCGAGCGCACGTGAAGCGCGTCCGTGCTGCTCGTGGTGCGGAAGCTTGGCATTCTCGTGAAGATCCCTTCTCCCAACCCCCCCACCCCCCTCCCCCATGCCCCACCCCCCCCATTTTTCCCAGTCCCCGGACGACAGTGAGCGCGCCTGGAGCGCGTGTGTGCTGTTCGTGGTGCGCAAGCTAGGCCCCGCGAAAGCAGCAGAGGAGGCGGCCGCCAGAGCAGGACAAATCGCGCTACCCGGGTCCTCTCGGTCGCAGTGGCCCTGGTTCACTCTGTCGGAGCTGCTGCGCGCCACCAAGCTGACGTGAGTTGCTCGGTCACGCTGGCATGGCATGGTATGGCATGGTATGGTATGGTATGGTATGGTATGGTATGGTATGGTATGGTATGGTATGGTATGGTATGGTATGGTATGGTATGGCATGGTATGGTATGGTATGGTATGGTATGGTATGGCATGCTTCTCTCTGCGGTCGCAGTGGCCCTGGTTCACTCTGTCGGAGCTGCTGCGCGCCACCAAGCTGACGTGAGTTGCTCGGTCACGCTGGCATGGCATGGTATGGCATGGTATGGTATGGTATGGTATGGTATGGTATGGTATGGTATGGTATGGTATGGTATGGTATGGTATGGTATGGTATGGTATGGTATGGTATGGTATGGTATGGTATGGTATGGCATGGCATGGCATGGTATGGTATGGTATGGTATGGTATGGTATGGTATGGCATGGTATGGTATGGCATGCTTCTCTCTGCGGTCGCAGTGGCCCTGGTTCACTCTTCCAGAGCTGCTGCGCGCCACCAAGCTGACGTGAGTTGCTTTCACACCAGGTATGGTACGGTATGGTTCGTTGCACACGAGGGTGTGTGCTGCCAGTGTCGTGACATGGTATGGTATGGACTGGTATGGTACGTTATGGCATGCTTCTCTCTGCGGTCGCAGTGGCCCTGGTTCACTCTTCCAGGGCTGCTGCGTGCCACCAAGCTGACGTGAGTTGCTTTCTCTGACATGGCATGGCATGGCATGGCATTGCATGGCATGGCATGGCATGGCATGGCATTGCATTGCATTGCATGGCATGGAATGGCATGCTTTGCCATGGCAATCGTTCAACTGTGTCGCTCGCAGTATTGAATGACCTTTTCCTCTGTCTCCTGAACTCCTCCCCTTTCACTCCCCACCTACCAATCCCAACCTCCCATGCCCCATCCCCCACCATCTTTCCAACACACACCATCACCACGTCCGCGTGGCATGTCCAGAGTGGTGGATTTCTTCAAGGAGATCGCCAACTTCCTGCCACGTGTCAGCCCTGTGATGCAGGCGGCGTATGGGGACCTGTGGGAGCAGAGGCTCGAGGTATGGTCTGTCCTTGCTGTCATTGCTGCCCTTGATGTCCTTGATGTCCTTGATGTCCTTGATGTCCTGTCATCATCACGAGCATTTTTTATGAGTCCTGAAACAACGTGTTGAGAGGCTGGAGACATGAAAGGTTGGTTCCTGTCTCTTCTCATATTTCATGTCCCGCAACGAGCTCTTGCTTCCAGTCCTCCCCCAGTCGTTGCTTGGTTTCATTCTCTTACTTTCGTTGCCTCACAACCACTGTTTTTGTTTTCCCCAGTCCTTCAGCCCTCCCTCTTCTATCCTTGCCCCTCCTCTCATTCCTCCTCCCTCTCATTCCTCCTCCCTCTCATTCCTCCTCCCTCTCATTCCTCCTCCGTCAGGTGAAGGAGCTTCAAGCCAACTTCGTGCATGCAATTGTGCTCTTCAAGTGAGTTAGCTGTTATTTCTTCTGGGACGTCTCACAGCTCAGTGTATGAAATCGAGCTCGATGGCAATGCAATGCATACGACAGGTGCACGAGAGCTCACACGTTTCCCCTCGTTAATTCCCCTTCTGCCATTCTCTTCTGCCATTCTCTTCTGCCATTCTCTTCTGCCATTCTCTTCTGCCATTCTCTTCTGCCATTCCCTTCTGCCATTCTCTTCTGCCATCCCCTTCTGCCATTCCCTTCTGCCATCCCCTTTTGCCATTCCCTGTTTCCCATTCCCACCTTTCCCCACTTCCCCACCTTCCACCCCGCATCCCCCACTCCTTCCCCCCCACCCAAACCCCACCACCCCCAGCCACTACAAGAAGGTGTTTGCAGAGCTCTTCATCTCCTCTCCCCCGCCCTCACACCCTCCGGGCGCGCCTCCTCATTGCCGCCGCCGCCGCCGCCGCTGCTGCTGCAGCCGCCTGCCAGTTCTCCCGGGAGATGCGCTTCGGCTGGCTGCTGTTCCTCTCCATCAAGGCGCACCTTCTCAGAAGGTTCCCGGATCTTGTCACTGCGACAAACGCGATGCTTTGCACGCTGGTGAGGGCGCAGAGCGCATGGCGCATGGCACAAAGGGCATGGGACACGTGGCATGGGACACGTGGCATGGGGCATAGGGCACAAGGCATGGGGCACGGGGCACAGAGCAGAGCACAGGGCACATGGCGGATGCTTTGGTCGGGTTGGTCATGCATTGTGGGAGCCTTCTTTCCTGTTCTCTCCCTCCCCCCACACGCCCTGCCCCCCGCTCCTCACCCCCCGATGTAATTCGCTCTCTGCTTCTCCATTTCGCCCCACCTTCAGCCCCCTCCGAACCTCCCCCCCTCCGAACCTCCCCCCCTCCGAACCTACCCTTGCACGGTCCTTCCAACCCCTTCTTTGGGTTCCATTCGCACCCCTTTCCACCTCTTTGTGCTCCCAATTCACCCCACTGCTCTTCGCCTTCCTGCACTCCTTTGCTTTGCATCGGGTGGTGTTGAAAGTTCACGTTTTCCCTTTGAGTTTTGAGATGTGTAAACCCCCCCTTCCACAACCCCCCCACCCCCTCCTACGCCACGCTTTCTACTTTCTGCATCAGGTGTTGCTGAGTCCACGTTTGAAAATTCTCATAAGTGATTCCCACAACCCCCCCACCCCCTCCTACGCCACGCTTTCTACTTTCTGAATCAGGTGGTGCTGATAGTCCACGTTCCCCCGTCGCTCCGCCGATTCTCCTTCTCAGACCCTGTCAGATTCTGTAAGTGCCTTACTTTGTTACGCTCCGGACTCCGCAAAACGCTTCATATTTGGTAAGTGTTACAATACATTTAGCTTCAGATCTAGCAAGTGGAGAGATGATTCTTCTACTGCCCAAGAAAAAGCATGTGTGTGAGCTTGTTCCTTAAATTGTTTATCTCCCCCTCCCCTCCCATCCCCTCCCCTCCCTCACAGCGCGCCGAGCAGGGCGAGGGCGCCTGGTGGACGTGGTGGGGTTGCTGTGTGCGAGCTACAAGGCAGCAGAATGCAAGGTGTCAGCCCTGCTCGACTGCAGCCAGCATCTCATGTCCCGCTGCCTCCCCTCTTCCACCCGCCTCTCCCCTCTCCCCACAGCGCGCCGAGCAGGCAGAGAGAGGCTAGTGGACGTGGTGGGATCGCTGTGTGCGATCTACAAGGCAGCAGAAGGCGAGGTATCTGCCCTCCTCGACCGCACCCAGCAGCTCATGGCCCGCTGCCTCGCCCGCCAGGCAGCCCTGGGAGCCTGCGAGCAGCACGACAGGGGGGAGGTTTGCCCCGACAGGCTGTTTCTCTTTGAAGCGTTGCTTGTCTGTCTCCCTCAGTCACTGGTGCCTGAGCTCCCCCTGCTCCCCCCTCTTCCCCCCCACAGCGCGCCGGGCAGGGAGAGAGAGGCTAGTGGACGTGGTGGGGTCGCTGTGTGCGAGCTACAAGGCAGCAGAGGGCGAGGTCTCAGCCCTGCTCGACCGCACCCAGCAGCTCATGGCCCGCTGCCTCGCCCGCCAGGCAGCCCTGGGAGCCTGCGAGCAGCACGACGCAGCCGACCTCTGCCCCGACAGGCTGTTTCTGTTTGAGGGGTTGCTGCAGGACGCGGCTGCGCTGCCGAGTGTGGATCTGGTGGAGGGGGCGTACCAGGAGGCGTATGTGGAGGCGGGCGACAGGGCGCTGGACGAGAGGATGTTTCTGTCAGGCGATGGGCAGGTCATTGGGGCCGTATCCCAGCTCACTGCTGCCACTTCTGTTGCTGCCGCCAAGGTGAGTGGTACTGAGTGGTTCTGAGTGGTTTTGAGCTGTACTGAGACATGCTGAGCGCTGCTGAGTGGTGGTGGGCTGGGGGACAGGGCGCTGGATGAGCGCATGTTTCTGTCGGGGGACGGGCAGGTCATAGGGGCTGTCTCGCAGCTCACTGCTGCCACTTCTGTTGCTGCTGCCAGGGTGAGTGGTACTAAGTGATGTTAACTTGATTCGATTTGAGTCGACTCAAAAATCGACTGTTGCTGCTGCCAAGGTGAGTGGTTCTAGGCGATGTTCACTTGATTCGAATTTTGAGTCGACTCAAAAATCAAATGTTGCTGCTGCCAAGGTGAGTGGTTCTAGGCGATGTTAACTTGATTCGATTTTTGAGTCGACTCAAAAATCAAATGTTGCTGCTGCCAAGGTGAGTGGTACTAGGCGATGTTAACTTGATTTTGAGGTGTCTGTCTGGCACTTGTGTTGGATTGCCACTTTCTCCTCGCCCTGCCTCGCCCCATCCTGCCCGTCCTGCCCCTGACTCTTCCTCCTCCCCCTTCCCCCTCCCCTCCCCATCCCCTTGTCCAGCGCTCCATGCCTCCCCCGTCCCCCCTCAAGAGCGCCCCCACAGGCGCAATGAACGCCCTCTCCTCCCCCTTCGCCAGCGCCATGGGCGCAGGGGGAGGCGCAGGGGGAGAGGGGCGCGGAGGGGGAAGCACCACCATCACCATCGCCCCCTTCTGCTCCCCCGCCCGCTCCTTCCTCACCCGCCTGGGTCCTGGGGGAATGGGGGGAACAGGGGGAACCGGGGGAGGGGGAGGGGGAGGCGGAGGGGGCATGGGGGTTCCCCAGACCCCTATCTCTGCTGCCATGTCGACAGCCCATTGGTTGAGAACCGTGGTCTCCGCTTCTCCTGCCGAGCCTTCTTTGGATCTGCTCCGGTTTCTGCACGCGTGCGACAAGGATGTAACGGGCGCGGTGGTAACCAGAACGACCCTGGTTTCGCATGAGATCTTTGCTGCTGTCTCTCAGAAGAAACGAGCAGCCGCTGCTGCTGCTGCTGCAGGCACGGGGGGAGGAGGGGGAGGGAAGGGAGCGGCGGGAGAGGCGGGAGGAGAGAAGAACGGAGCCGGAGCAGGAGCAGGTGATGCTGGGAAGCAGGCTGAAGGGGAACCCGCAGCAGCAGGGGGAGCGGGAGGGGGGAGCGAGCCGGCAGAGGCGGCGCTATGGGCGGAGCAGAGGAGGCAGGAGACAGTAAAGCTGTACTACCGGGTGCTCCTCCGCATGTGCACCTCTGAATCCCTCTGCATCAACTCACTGAACCTCACTCCACTCCTCGATAACGACCGGTTTCACCGCGCGCTCCTCGCCTGCTCCGCCGAACTCGTTCTAGCCAGTCACAAGGCGACGGCTCACGCCTTCCCTGCTGTGCTGGCCCCGGCAGGGGTGTCGGCATTTGATATGGATAAAGTTATGGAGGGGTTTGTGCGGTATGAGGAGGGGCTTCCTGGGGAGCTGAAGCGGCACCTGAACGCGTGTGATGAGCGGATACTGGAGAGTCTAGCTTGGGAGAAAGGGTCGAGTCTGTATGTGACGGTGGTGGCCGCGAGACGGCATTTGCTGGCCGAGGTGAAGAGGCTGCAGCTGCTGCCGGAAGGGGAGGAGGGGTTGGTGGGAAGGCTGGTGGGGAGAGGAGCGGGAGGGAAGGGGAGTGGCGGGGATGGGGAGAAGGGGGATGGCACGCCGGAGAAGGGGAGTGATGAAGGTGAGAGGATTGTGGCAGTGTGACGTATGGTTTGAGTGCCTTGCCATGGTGTGTGCTGGTGCCATGGTGTGTGCTGGTGCCATGGTGTGTGCTGGTGCCACTTGGATGTTGCACTGCCCACCTCATTGCACGGGGAGAAGGGGGATGGCACGCCGGAGAGCAAGGGGAGTGATGAAGGTGAGGTTTTTGTTTTGTGCGTGTGCCATTCTTCTCTCTCTCTGCATGTTTGTGAATCTGTGCCATCCCCACCAGATTATTGAACAAGAGTTTTGAGACGTCTCAAAGCACTTGTTCAATCACGTGAATCTGTGCCATCCCCACCCCACCAACCACATCCCACCCTGCTATCGCACCCTGCTCTCATCCCTCCCTCCCAGCAGCCTCCCCGCCAACCCAGGCCTCCTTCCCAGCATCCTCCCCCATAAAATCCGAAGCCACGAAACCAGTGTGTCTTCACCCCCGTTTTCTCGATTCACACTCATGCATCTATGCATTTCTGTGTTCCTGCCTTTCTATGCTATCCCACCCCACCACCCCACCCCACTCGTCGCTCCCAGCAGCCTCCCCACCAGCCCAGGCGTCCTTCCCCGCATTCTCCCCCATGAAGCCGCAGAACAAGCATGAACAAGCATGAACAAGCATGAACAAGCATGAACAAGCATGAACAAGCATGAACAAGCATGAACAAGCATGAACAAGCATGAACAAGCATGAACAAGCATGAACAAGCATGAACAAGCATGAACAAGCATGAACAAGCATGAACAAGCATGGACAAGTGTGTATTCCCCCCCATTTTCTATGCTATCCCACCCCACCATTGCACCCCTTGCAACCCTCCCTGCAGCCTCTCCGCCAGCCCAGGCGTCCTTCCCCGCGTTCTCCCCCATGAAGCCACAGAACAAGCGGGAGTTTGCGCACCTGCACTCCTCCTTCACCACGTGAGTTGCTGTGGTGCTGTGGTGCTGGCTCTTTGATATGTCACGCTGTGTACCACGCACCTAGCTAGTGCAGCAGCAGGCACATGCAGCCCAGCTATCCCCCATGATGCCACAAAACAAGCGGGAATTTGTGCACCTGCACTCCTCCTTCACCACGTGAGTCATTAAGGTGGCTCCTTTTATGTTGCGATGTTCATATAGCACCCGAGGGGCTGGCTGGCGGGCAGAAGTCGATTGCAGGAGAGCAGGTCCACCTGCACGCCACCTCCACCACGTGTGTTATGGTGGTGGCTTCTGAAGCGCTGGACCAGCACAATGGGTTGTTCTGTTGCGATGCTCAGATTCAAAACACGTCATGCGAGAATCTAAAGTACCTCGCCAGCCCAGCTCTCGTCCCTTGCCCTCATATCCCTCGTATCCCTTGCCCAGTTCCAAACCCACCCCTCCATCAACCCCCCCTCTTCTTCAACTCATCTGCAGTCCCTTGCACTAGCGCCATCATCTATAGTCCTTGTGAGCGATTTTTGAGAATTCGCAAAGATAACCCACCCGTCCATCATAACTCCCTTTCCTTCAACTCATCTGCAGCCCCTTCCAGCAGCGCCACCATCTGTTTCACCAGACGGTGAAACAGCAGCGGCGGCACAATCTCTTCTCACTCTCTCGCCCCTTCCCTCCCCTCCCCCCTTTCCGTCACTTTTTTCGGGCTGTCCACCCACCACAGTCCCTTCCAGCGGGCGTCAGCAGCAGCAGCACCGCCAGGGGAGAGTCGATCCGAGATGCTCTTTAACCAGTTCTGCCAAAAGGTAAGCGACTATTGCCTCTTCACAAAAGGCTTCGTTCAGTTTAGCTTCCTCTCCGTCTGCTCCTGCTCCTGCTCCTGCTCGTGCTCGTGTCCCCATCCCTCTTTTGAGGCGCCTCAAAAGGCTTCGTTCAGATCAGCTTCCTCTCCGTCTGCTCCTGCTCCTTCCTGCTCGTGTCCCCATCCCTCTCACTTATCCCCGTGCCTTGCTCCCTCCCATCTCCCATGACCATCAATCCCAGGTCCGCAAGCCAGCGGTGGTGAGAGTGCGCAGCCTGTGCGATGTGCATTTCCTTCCCTCCCTCCCTCACTTGACCTTCACTCTCTCCTTTAATGCTCTTCACCACCACCCCAGGTCCTCAAGCTAGCGGTGGTGAGAGTGCGCAGCCTGTGTGAGCGCCTCAGGCTGACAGCAGCGGTGTCGGAGATGGTGTTTCGCGTGGTGGAGCATGCAGTGGAGGGCGAGGTGCAGCTGCTGTTTCCTCTTTCTGGTGATGATCCTACGCTCATCCCTCTCATCCCCTTGCCTCCCTCCCTCCCATCTCACTCCCAGGTCCTCAAGCTAGCGGTGGTGAGAGTGCGCAGCCTGTGTGAGAGGCTCAGGCTGACAGCAGCGGTGTCAGAGATGGTGTTCCGCGTGGTGGAGCATGCAGTGGAGGGCGAGGTGCAGCTGCTGTTCTGCCGCCACCTCGACCAAATTATTCTCTCTTCTGTCTACGGTGTCTGCAAGGTGGGAGGGGTTGAAGGGAAGGGAGGGGGACACGGAGGGAAGGGAGCAAGGTGGGCGGGTGAAAGGTGGGCGGGTGCAAGGTGTGATGGCGACTTTTGAGTTGACTCGAAAGTCAGCTACCGCACTCCAAAGCACTACCTTTTTCAACGCGCTTTCCTCCCCTGCAACCACCTACTTGCCTATCCCCGCTTCTCCTCCCCCCACCCATTCCGTCCTGCCTCCTTTCACGCAGGTGTCGCAAGTGGCAGTCACGTTCAAGGACATCATCGCACAGTACCGCAAGTTACCGCACTGCAAACCCTCGGTCTTCAGAAACGTTTTCATTGATGCCAAGCCACCCCCTGCTGACTCTGCCTCCAAGGAGGTGCGTTAGATGGGCGCAGAGCGGTGAAGAGTGGTGGCGATGGGTGTGAAGGGGATGTGTTTGGGATGGTGCAGAGTGGTGCAGAGAGGTCTTGAGGCGGTTGGGAGGGGTAAAGGGCATACCGTGAGTGGTGAGAGCTAAGCCAACTCATGGTCACTAGTTGCTGTGCCTCCTATGCCTCAATTCCTCTTCGCCTCCCTCTTGTCATTTTCGTTTTTTATGAGCCTTATCCTCCTCCGTCTATTCACTTCTCTCCCTCGTGTTCATTTCTGCACACATCCCACCAGCCCATCCCCCAGCACACGGAGAAATCATTTGATTCTACAACAAGATAACCCTAAGAGTCCTCCCATCCCCTGTGCCCTTATGCGTCCCATGCCCTTCGTGTCCCCCATGTCCTTCGTGTCCCCCGTGCCCTTCGTGTCCCCCGTGCCCCTTGTGCCCCTTGTGCCCCCCCATACCACCCCCCGCGCACGCCCCAACAGCCCATCCCCCAGCATGGCGGCATCATTCGTTTCTACAACGAAATCTTTGTACTGGCAACCGAGTCCTTCATGCTGCACCTCGGTCACGGCGCCACAGCGCCACAGCGCCACAGTGCCACAGTGCCACAGTGCCACAGCGCCACAGTGCCACAGTGCCACAGTGCCTCCTCTGCACATCCATTGTGCGCCCTGCAGCACACTCATCATGTGCCCCTCTCCCCCCACTCCCTCTTCTCCGCCCGTCCGTTCCCTCTGCCCCTTGAAACCAGCCCATCCCCCAGCACGGGGACATCATCCGTTACTACAACGAGGTCTTTGTACCGGCAAGGCAACCAAGTCCTCCCTCCACTCCCTGTACCCTCTTCTGCGGCCACACCACACATATCCCCTCCCCTCCCCTCCCCTCCTCCACACCACACCAGCCCATCCCCCAGCACGGGGACATCATTCGTTTCTACAACGAAATCTTCGTCCCGGCCACCAAGTCCTTCCTCCTGCACCTCGGCCACGGCGCCTCCACAGGGGGGGGAGCAGGGGGGGGAGCGGGGGGAGCAGGGGAGAGGGGCGGGGGGCACGGGGGGAGCATGTTCAGGAGCCCCCTGGTGCACTCTTCCCCTGCCCTCGCGCACTTTCAGCAGCACCAGCAGTCGCCGTCGTCCGTGCCGGGTGCTTCCCCGCGTCGTGTGTCGTCCCGGCATAATGTCTACGTCTCCCCACTGCCCACCTCTAGGGTGAGAGTCATCACCACCTCATGCTTTCTGGATGTTTTTGAGAATCCTCCAAAACGCCACCTCATGCTTTCTGCAGTCGGGGCACACGAGCCACTTCCAGCACCACCAGCAGTCGCCCTCGTCTGTGCCCACACCAGCAGTCTGTGCTGGGCGCCTCCCCTTGCCGACTGTCATCTCGACACAACTGCCCACTGCCCACCTCAAGGGTGAGTCATCACTGTATGCTGTCTTGGCACGGGTCAAGAGAGCCATTTCCAGCAGCTGCAGCAGTCGCCCTCGTCCGTGCCGGGTGCCTCCCATCACCGCGAGTCCTCACGGCATAATGTCTAGGGTGAGTCATCACTGTATGCTGTCATCACTGTATGCTGTCTTCGCACGGGTCAAGAGAGCCGTTCTCAGCAGCACCAGCAGCACCAGCAGCACCAGCAGCACCAGCAGTCGCCTTCGTCTGTGCCCGGTGCCTCCCTTCGCCGTGTGCTGCCCATTCACTAGATGGAGGCCCTTCTAGCGTCACCCCTTCTAGCTTCACCCCTTCTAGCATCACCCCTTCTAGCATCACCCCTTCTAGCATCACCCCTTCTAGCATCACCCCTTCTAGCATCACCCCTTCTAGCATCACCCCTTCTAGCGTCACCCCTTCTAGCGTCACCCCTTCTAGCGTCACCCCTTCTAGCGTCACCCCTTCTAGCGTCACCCCTTCTAGCATCACCCCTTCTAGCGTCACCCCTTCTAGCATCACCCCTTCTAGCATCACCCCTTCTAGCATCACCCCTTCTAGCGTCACCCCTTCTAGCGTCACCCCTTCTAGCGTCACCCCTTCTAGCGTCACCCCTTCTAGCGTCACCCCATCGCCAGCTCTCAGAGCAGCTGTCCACGCAGCTGCTGGGAGGGGGCCTCTCTGGTGACCCCTATGTCCTCCTCCCCCTTCCCTCTTTGCCCTGTCCTCATTCACCAGATGGAAGCTCTATTGGCCTCCCCTCACTGCCAGCTCTCAGAGCAGCTGTCCACGCAGCTGCTGGGAGGGGGCCTCTCTGGTGACCCCTATGTCCTCCTCCCCCTTCCCCCTTTCCCCTGTCCTCATTCACCAGATGGAAGCTCTATTGGCCTCCCCTCACTGCCAGCTCTCGCAGCAGCTCTCCACGCAGCTGCTGGGAGGAGACCTCTCTGCTGGTCTCTGTGCCTTGCTGTCCCACCCTTCTCTCCCCTTCTCTCCCCTTCTCTCCCCTTCTCTCCCCTTCTCTCCCCTTCTCTCCCCTTCTTCTCTTCTGCTCACCATTCACCAGATGGAGGCTCTGTTAGCCTCCCCGCATCGCCAGCTCTCAGAGCAGCTCTCCACGCAGCTGATGGGAGGGGGCTACTTGCAAACCTGACCTTCCTGCTCTTCCCTCTTTCTTCACTTCTGCCCCCAATTCACTCAGATGGAGGCGCTTCTTGCCTCCCCGCACCGCCAGCTCTCCGCTCAGCTGTCCACGCAGCTGCTGGGAGGGGGCCTCTCTGGTGACCCCTTCGCCAGCCCATCCAGGCATATTGAAGCCATCAACCAGCGCATCAGCAGAGCCAAGTGAGAAAGGGATGGGGGGTGGAGTGGTGTGGGGTGGGGTGGGGCGGGGTTGAGTGGGGTTGAGTGGGGTGGTATTGCAGCTAGCTAGCCCGTCGAGGCATCTGGCTGTCATCAACCAGCGCATCAGCAGAGCCAAGTGAGAAAAGAAGGGGGACTGATGGGGTAGGGGAAGGGTTGGGAGGGGTGGGGTGGGGTGGGGTGGGGTGGGGTGGGGTTGGATGGGTTGGATGGGGTTGGGTGGGGTTGGATGGGGTGGCATGGTGTTGCAGCTATCCACTCAAGGCACCTGGCCACAATCAACCACTGTATCAGCAGCACCAGGTGAGGGGGGGAAGGATGAATGACGAAGGGAGGATGACCCTAGTCATCTCTAGTCAACTCCAGTCAGCTCCAGTCAACTTAGTCTCCCCTTGTTTACTATAATCAGCTCTAGTCAACAGCAGTCAACTCTTGTCCACTCTGTCTTTGCTTCTCCTGCTCCGTTCTCTCCCTTGCAAAAACTCACAGGCGCCGGGATCTCAGATGCAACGGATGTGTTTTTTGAGGCGCCTTTAAAAAATCGCCTCAAAATTTTCGAGGTGCCTTAAAAAAATTGCCTCAACCATTTTGAGGCGCCTCAAAAAACTCACAGCCGCCTGGATATCTCAGATGCAATGGATGTGGACGCCTCTCGCGCCTCCAGCATCACCCTAGTCAACGCTGGTCAACGCTAGTCAACTCTAGTCAACATTCCTCCCTCTCCTCCTTTTGTTTTCCCTATTGTAACCCTCCAGGCGCTTCGGTCGTCTGGATTTCTCAGAAGCAATCGATGTGGACGCCTCCAGCATCACTCCAGTCAATCCTATTCAACCAAAGTCAATTCTATTCTGCCCTCTTCCACTTTCCAGGCGCTTCGGTCGTCTGGACTTCTCAGAAGCAATGGATGTGGACGCCTCTCGAGCTTCTAGCATCACTCCCCCACCCCCCACTCCTATTGCTACCCTCGGGTTTGCTACAGCTGCTGCTGTTCCTGCTGCTCCAGCAGCTGCTACAGCTGCTGCGGCAACTGCCTCTGCTGCTGCTTCTGCCCCTCTTACTGCTGCTGTGAATGGTACAGACGCTAGTACCTCTCCTCCTGCTGCTGCTGTTGACGCTGGTGCTGGTAATGATACTGGTGGCAGCCCGAATGGTAATGACACTGGGATTCCTCCTCCTCTTACTTCTCCTACCGCTGCTTCTGTTGAGGCTCCTGTCGCTCCTGCTGCTGCCGCTATTGGTGCTGCTGCAGGTGTTTTGCCAGGAGATTCCTCAGGTGCTGTTGCAGCAGGAGAGCAGGCAGCAGGGTATGCGGTGGGCAGTGGAGGCTTAAACGGGGAGGGACAGGTGGGGATTCCGTCAGGAGCAACGGCAATGGGAGTTGAGAGTTTAGCGATGGGCGTGGGGATGGGGGTGGAGATGGGGGTAGGGAGTGAAGGGGTTGGTGTGGGAAACGGAGGGGTGGGGAACGGTGGAGCGGGGTCTGCAGGCGAGGCCGAGGGTTCGTGGTGGCAGCAGCAGCAGCAGCAGCAGAATGCACAGCAGCAGTATTTGCAAGGGCAAGGGCGAGGGCAGGAGGAGAAGATTGGGCAACAGGAGTATGTGGGTGTGAGTCAGGGCGAGCAACAATGGCAGGATCAGCAGCCGCAGTACCAGCAGCAGCAGCTGGCACCACAGCAACAACAACAACAACAACAACAGCAACAGCAGTTCCAGGCTCAGGAGCAGCAGCAGCCGCCGCAACAGTATCAGTACCAGTAGCAACAGCAGCAGCAGCCACAGTAGTAGCAGTTGCCACCCACAGCAGCAACAGCAGCTGCAACTGAAGAAGTATCACCAGCAACAGAAGCGTCAACAGCAGCCACAGCAGCAGCTCCAGTCTCAGGAGCAGCAGCAGCAGCCGCAGCAGTATCAGTACCGGTAGCAGCACCGCTGTTACAATTCAAGCGTCAGACACCTTACAACGAGGCCCTTAGGGGTCTGCCTGCTGTTTTTACATAACTGGAAGCACCATACATCTTATAATGAAGCTCATGTGGCTAATACCACAAGACAGACATGGTGTACAAGGCCCCTAAGAGGGGCCTTGCTAGGGCTACTTTCCATGGCTTCCCACCATGCTCGGCAGTGTACCCCTATGCTGGGGAAAGCCTTGATTAGAGGAGCCTAGTGGTTGCTTATTGAGATGTCTCAACTCAGTAGTAACATTGAGCGCTTCGTTGGCAGGGGTAGTGTTACCATGGCCTTCCCCACTGCTCAGCAGTGCAACCCCTACGCAGGGGAAAGTCTGGATTGGAGGAGCCTAGTGGTTGCCTGCCTACTGTAAAATGTCTCAACTCATGAGTAACATTGATTGAGCCCTTCGTTGGCAGGGGTGTTTTTCTTCCTTCGTTGGCAGGGGTGGTTTTTATCCGGAGAACGGGACTAGTGGTTGATGGTATGGGGAGATGGGTGTTGTAAAGGGAGGGTGTGGGGGAGAGGATATGGAGAGATAGGTATGTGTGTATGTAGCGTTTACTTCTAATGGCATTGATAGATCACTACATTTGATAACGAATGATAACAACACGCACGCTCTACTTTGTGGTTTACACCTCCTTTCTTATTGAAGGAGAAAAACAAGCTGATAGCTAAACAACTCAACGTTGGTAGGTATTATTGAGGCTAAGGCCGTCTGTTTCTCCTTGCCCTGTTCCCGCCATTCTGATCTCTAGAATCAACCCATCTGCTGCCTCTGCAAGTATTTACAGAGCGGAGTCGGTGTATGTGTAACACCTGTTCCAGCGTTACAGACTGCTGCCCTGTGCCCTCGTCCTCACTTGGCCCGGCCAGCAACAGTTGGAGGCACGACGATAGGCCCCACAGAAGCAGCTGCGCATGTGTGGATGTCGCCTGCAAGGCCACCTGAATAAACACCTGAGGAGTTGCTTCCGTACGTAATGGCATGGATGAAGGTCTCTGTTGGGTAGGCGGCACACATCTTGGCGGTTGTAGCGGGGGCGGCAGTGGCGTTCCCCTCCTCTTGTTCCGCTGCCAAACCGGAAGCAGAAGGCTCGGCAACCATGGCAGGAGGCAGGGGCTCACGCTCGGGGAACTCGGATGCCATAATGGGCCCCGCATCAGGTCCGGAAATAGACTCGGTAATCGCCGAGCCTAGGTGGCGAAGAAGGTGGCGGAGGGGGTTGGGCTCACTGCAGGCGTGACAGAAACGGGGGAGCGAAAAGGAAGAAGGCCACGGTCAGAAAAAAACGGATTGACAATAGCGGAGAAATCAAAAAAAAAAAAAGAAATGAAGGCAGGTGAGAGCTACGGGCAGGGGGAGCAGGGTGGGAGAGGAGAGGTGGGTGGGGTGGGTCAGGGAATCGGGGGTGGGAGGGGAGGCGGGGGGTGGAAATTTCGAGAAAACAGGTCTCCGCGGAGCTTACGCTGAGTGAGCGGCGCGGAAGGTGCAGCGGTCAGGGCAGCGCGCAAACACGTCACCCGCGTGGATGAACTTGGTTTTTCCGACGGACCCATCGGGTCCCCGCAGCTCGAGTGTCGCCTGCTTGCTGCAGTAGTCTTCGCAGAAGGTTTCGCCGCCGATGGTTACTGCGATGTCGCCGCTGGTAACCAGCAGGTAGAGCGCGGCGCGGTCGAATGGAAGCGCGCCGATGTCGATCTGGTGCTGGACGGCTGCGATTCAAGCGAACGCGCGAACAGAGCGGAAAGCAAGAAAATCGAAACACGAGTCAGTCTCAAGCTAAGAGTTATCCGAATTTGTAACATTGGTGCAGGGAGGGGGTTACAATTGTTACCTTCAGCGGAGTTGACACCGTAGTGGTTGTTATCGACGGCCACGGATCCCAGCTGAGCCAGCGATTCGTAACCTCGCGCTGGCAACTCGTTGATAAAATCTTCCACGAGCGCCACGTCAGCAGCGTCCCACGTGCCGTGGAAAACGACGTGGAGGGGCGTGCGTGGAACATCGGCCGACAGGCCTCTTCTCAATCTCGAAAGGAGGACGTGGGTGGGAATGCCGCCGCTTTCGCCGCCGCGTGAAGCGCTGTCGTAGACCGAGGATGCCAAACCGCGGGAATGGACGGTCGGGATGAGCGTGACGAGAATCGGGACGGCGACGAAGAGGAGACCGAGGAGTGCGCGCATGCTGAGCGGTGATCGGGGAGCCATGATGTCTTTTCGGCTGAGTGTAGTGTGTCCGCTTCGCGACGTCCCTCCGTCTGAATGACGTGACGATGCTTCGAGCCTCTGAGAGGTATGTGAAATTGAGGTTCGGAATGGTCCCAGAATGAAAACGAGGGGGAGATATAGAAGATTGGTGCTCGCGAGAGCTTGTTGTTGAGAGCAGGTACCTAGACCTTGAGTGTGGTGGGGAGTGCGGATGTATTATTGGAGCCCCACAGTAGTGATTCGCGATCTTGATGAGCTTGAGGGACAGGAAATGATGGGGGCTAGAAAGGAATGACAGCTTGGGATAACCAAGAGCATTGCGCCGCGGATATCAAGCGGGGCGCGGATTTGTGAGCGGGGCGCGGAAGAAAAAGCAGGACGCGGAAGAGAGAGGCGTACGGGCGAGGCAACGTCGGTCGGTGGTTGGCTGAAGCTGGCACGGGGGAAGGAATTGTGACCAGGAAAACTTTTGAATGTTCACCAAGGCGAGGATTGACGAATAGAAGCACGTTCCGCTTTCTCCAACAAAAACTGGCAGGGGCATCCTTAGTTTCAGAAACGGCAATAATTCTGCTGAATGGGGGTGAAGTTGGGGGGAGGAGTGCCCTCCCAGCGGAGCGAGCGGACGCCCCATGTGCGTGCGACTCGCAGGATCATCTCCTTGAGGCGATCGTGATTGGCCGGCGAATAATGTTCGTCAAATCAGCTTTTCTGCTTGTCTGGACGGATGGCAAACGTAGCTGGGAAAATCGTCGAAGTTTCATGCCTTGACGACAAGCGCAGCTGTTCGGCTGACTCGGATGGGCGAATTGGCGATCGTCCCTCAACAGCTTGCTTGCTTCCTCGTCACCCACGAGCGACAGCTGTAACAACCTTGGTGTTCAAGCTTGGAGGAAACTCAACGAATTTCAAGTGCCCGTTACTGCTTGCACACTGCTGACTGGGGCTGTCAATAATCTCTGTGCATTCAGGGCGGGTCCCGAAAGTTCGTAAGCAGTTTTAGGGCCCGATTTTACGAAAAACAACACCAGGGGGAGGAACACCAGAAATCGTTTCTTGTGTCCGTGGATGAAAATGGCACAGCTTGTCTACAGTTTATAAGGCTTGTCGCGAATAATTTCATAGCTCGTAAGTCAGGTACATGGATTTGGTTTGGTTCTGTCAACGTAGGTTCATGCGCAAACCACGTGGAGCACAATTATTGCCATAGGGAAACTGACGTGGTCAACGGAAATAGCTTGTGGGGGACAGCAGTGCTAACGCTTGGTTACAGTGGGGGCCATTAGTAGTACAAGTAGTGCTTCTGTATTAAACAATAATTTTTGCTAAACTCTCCATTTGAGTTCAGTGACTACACACCTTATTTGATATATTGCCACCTGACTGAAAACACATCCAGTCCAGGTCCCTGCACACCATCCATGGAGTTAGTGAATGAACAGGCTTGGAGTTCCTTAAGGACAACAGCTGCAGTACCCACGTATCAGGAAAATATACATGAGATTCCTACTGTAGTTGTTATCGAGAATTGTGCAGTTATAAGTTACGTCTACTACACTACTGCCTTCCATCCTTTAGGTAGGGTACCGTACGTGGTTTCTGGTTGCTTGATGCACTGCATGTGAGTCCATTGGTGAATTTAGCATGTACGGTATATGTGATAGTGGGGGTGGGGCATTTATGGGACCGTAGCTGTCCATATGTCAGCAACATTGTTTTGTTGACTACAATTTCAGATCCTCAATAGGATACTGTATATTTCCCACTTCTTTTTTTTGGGTTGCGAAGCAACCTATTACAATCGTTATGTACAATTTTTTTTTCATCTTTATGAAAAAAAAATAGCGAATCGTGGCTAAGTGATTCAGTGCTGTGTATTTGCCACGACAATTTAGCACGTGCCGTACCACATTCTTTCACATTTCCTAGGTAGTTCGATGACTGGTAACCTATACTTTATCGATGAAACATAAACATGACTTGCCAAAATGATGTACCGTAACTGTGAATGCGTGACCGTTTATTCGGTAATGCATATGCCGTAAAAAATAATGTATAGATGAAGTATAATGATGATTGAGTGCAAAATGCATAAATATACATGCATATACGACTGTGGTGAATATACATGTGCTCTGTTTATTTCGGTATAGGTCCGGTGCAGTG